TAATTTTAGAAATAGTTTATTTAATTTTGTCACCTAAAGAAAACTAAAATTAGTTTATTATTGTCACTATCAGTAAGTAAGTCAATACACAAACATTCATCACAAAAAAAATTCTTTACTAGTAGTCACAACAAAATTCGCCGCAATTCTTTAATCTATAAAAATTACTAATATCCTCATTATTTCAGAATTGTTTGACAAAAATAATTCATCATGTCAGAATTAAAAAGAAATTTAATATCAAAAATAAAATAAAAGAAAAGAGAAAACAGATCCGAATTGAGTTCATCTTATTTTTTTTGTTTTAATGATTAAAATTTATACGAACCTCAAAAAAGACCAAAGACAGCAATTAAAATCTTTGTTTCTTTGTGTTCTAAGGATCTTTGTCTTCTACTGTAACTCCTTAAAGCAAAACTGTAACTACACCAAAAACGATTCTTTCCCAAAATTTAATAAATCAATAAAACCTTCTTCTTCATCTTCATCGTTTATCACGACCTCTGCCTCTTCGTCTCTTTCAAAGGCCATTTTGAATCTCTCTCTTTCTCTCAATCTCTGTGTAGCTATCAGATCTTTTCTCTGTGTTGATCTGCAACAATCAAATTAAGGTTCTTTTCTGCTTTTTAAATAAAGTACTAATATATTATATATACAGATTGAGATATTCTCTGTCTTGCTTCTTCTAATCAAATCCTCTGAAGTTTCCTCCTTTGTTCTAAGTTTTGGAGTAGTCTTTGTATGTGGTGTGGTTAAGGAATGAATCGGAGGCAGCAAGTGAAACGTAGAGTAGGTAAATATGAAGTTGGAAGAACAATTGGAGAAGGAACTTTTGCTAAAGTTAAGTTTGCTAGAAACTCTGAAACTGGAGAACCTGTTGCTCTCAAGATTCTTGATAAAGAGAAAGTTCTCAAGCATAAAATGGCTGAACAGGTTTTTGTTTGTTGTTATTGAATTATGGATACTCTGCTTTCGCATTGCGCTTTTTTTATCGGTTGATTTTGATCTTGCTTAGTCTTTTTATTGAATTGTACAGATCAGAAGAGAGATAGCTACTATGAAGTTGATTAAGCATCCCAATGTTGTTCAATTGTATGAGGTAATTAACACTTTTTTAGTTAAATGTTTTATTTGATTATGTAATTGGAAGTTACTAATTTTACGTCGAAATTGTACTGGTTGTTGTTGCAGGTGATGGCAAGTAAGACGAAAATATTTATCGTCTTGGAGTATGTTACAGGAGGAGAACTCTTTGATAAGATTGTAAGTTAGTTACCACAATTATAAATGGTTGTGATTTTGTAATGTCACATTACTGTTGAAATCTGATTGTGTATAACATATGAATGAAGGTAAATGACGGGCGGATGAAAGAAAATGAGGCGCGGAGATATTTCCAACAGCTTATACATGCTGTGGATTACTGTCATAGCAGAGGTGTCTACCATAGAGACCTTAAGGTACTTGATACGAACATAAATGGTTTTATAAATGGTAGGACTGTAATTACAAAGCCTTTAGGATTGTGATCATAGAGCTCTTCCCAACAAACCACCGAAATCTCGATAAAAGGATGGTATATAGATAGAGAAGTTACCTATGTATATGTTATGTGCAACAATTGACTATTGTTATGTGTTTTGTCAGCCTGAAAATTTACTATTGGATGCCTATGGAAACCTCAAGATCTCAGATTTTGGATTAAGTGCTTTGTCCCAACAAGTCAGGGTAATGACCATCTGTTTTTATAGTTTCAGATATTCTTTATTTTTCCAAGAAATGATTTCATCTTTATCCCAAGAATTTACGGATATTGTTGTCGAAAATTTTATCCATATTTATTCTTAAACATGGTTTATATGATTGGGGATATCAGGATGATGGACTCCTTCATACATCGTGTGGAACTCCGAACTACGTTGCTCCTGAGGTCTGCCTATACCTTATATCTAATGATGATATTATCCTTTGTTTTATGCTTTGAGAGCGTTTATAACCTATCTCTTATCTTTGTGCTTTTTAGGTCCTCAATGATAGAGGCTATGATGGAGCAACAGCGGACATGTGGTCATGCGGTGTTATACTCTATGTTCTGCTTGCAGGTTACTTACCTTTTGATGATTCTAATCTAATGAATCTTTATAAAAAAGTGAGCAACAACTCTTTTTAAAAATTCTCTCTTTTAGATAGAATCTTCCAACAATCCTTGTTTCTGGATTTTTATATCTCCCTTTTGACATTTTTCCTTTTGTGCAGATTTCATCTGGTGAATTCAATTGTCCTCCATGGCTCTCACTTGGCGCCATGAAACTCATCACTCGAATCTTAGATCCGAATCCGATGACCGTAAGTAATTTAACATGCTCATACCAATATAAGGCATTTCCATTGCTAAGAATTTTCACACAAACATGAACTTTATGACCTTTAAAAGAAACTTGAGTTGAGTAATGAGCTATATATTCCTTCCTTTGCACCATGATTTATTGTGGTACTCAACCATGTTTTCCATTTTTCCAGCACAAACGGGCTGGAGAAAAAAGGTTGGGGAACTGTGTTATACATATTAAAATGTACAACTCTATCTGCTTCATCTTTCATTTCATTGCACGTTTTATGTTTCTTTTTGGGAAAAATCTAAGACGAATCCTCAATTAGCTGAGTTCAAAGGATAGTAGATGTGGTTAAACAGACTAATCAAATAAACATGTCTTTTTAATACCTGAGGAATTTTTCAGAATTTCTGTTGCTTATGCAACGTAATCAAGAAACTGAGTTGATGTGGTTTTTGTGTCAGCGTGTAACACCACAAGAGGTCTTCGAAGACGAATGGTTCAAGAAAGATTACAAGCCTCCAGTTTTCGAGGAGAAAGATTATTCAAACATGGATGATATTGATGCTGTTTTCAAGGACTCTGAGGTGTGGATAGTTTTTCTTCTTCTTTTTCATTTTTCTTAAGAAGAGCATCACTTAACGCATGTGATGATCGTGTACAGGAACATCTTGTTACTGAGAAGAAAGAAGAACAGCCAGCGGCAATCAACGCTTTTGAGATCATCTCAATGTCAAGAGGACTTAACCTAGAGAATCTGTTTGATCCAGAACAGGTTTGTGTTTTTGTGCATGATTTTATTCCTATAAATAAAACTGGCATTCTTTTTTTTTGTAATCTGTTGATGAAATAATTTCTTTAAAAAACAGGAATTTAAGAGGGAAACAAGGATAACACTAAGAGGAGGCGCGAATGAGATCATCGAGAAGATAGAAGAAGCTGCAAAGCCTCTCGGTTTTGATGTGCAAAAGAAGAACTACAAGGTTAGTGAAACCTCTGGAAATGGAATGAAATTGAAATGAATCAATAACTAAGACATGGTACATTACTTGAAATCAGATGAGGCTTGAGAATGTGAAGGCCGGGAGAAAAGGGAATCTCAATGTAGCGACGGAGGTATGCTATATGAAACTGGACATTCAAGAAAGTGTTGGTTATGGTTTATCAGTTTTTGAATCAGTGTGTTTTTATTTCTTTGGTGTGACAAGCAGATATTCCAAGTAGCGCCAAGTCTTCATATGGTTCAAGTATCGAAGTCGAAAGGGGACACTCTCGAATTCCACAAGGTAAGTCCATAGTTTGGTTTCGACTATATCATAGGGTAAGTAACCGGTTTAATGAGCTAAGCAGAGGTGATGGTGTGTTTGCAGTTCTATAAGAAGCTCTCTAATTCTCTGGAGCAAGTAGTCTGGACAAACAATGAAGTTAAGAAAGAAACAGGAAAGTGATGTATGAGAGTTTTATCTTTTGGGACTTTGTTTATGAGAGCTTTTTGCTTGACCGGCTACTTTGTGTGAATGATGAGAAAGGGAGTGGGATTGGTTTGTGTAAAAGAAAGGTGTAAATATGAACCGCATTAGGTGCTGCGATACCAGTTATAAAGTCATATCAAAGCTTGTTGGCTAAGCGTTTGAAAATGCCTCCTTGCTCTGTTTGTTACTCTGTGCAAAAGACCCTTGATGACTAAAGTGTGTAGATTTGGACATCTCTTGAGCAGAAAGTGGCATTACTTGCTAACTTTTTTCTTGTTACTCTCAATGTATAAGAAGATTCTACATCTAGATTTGTAACATCACCAAATATAGCCGTCTTTGGTCTGTCACAATAACCATCATCGTCATCAAACGGAAAAATAAGCATCATCATTATCGTCTTGACCGGCGTGCAAGTGTAGTTCCAATAAACCACGTTCCATTGCAGTCCAAATCCAACTGTGGAGAGGACGGTTAGGTCTAGGTCGATGAGGCAGAGATAATTTCTTGATGGGAGAATTGCTTGACAGAGCAAATGTCTTCTCTACGAAATCACAGAGGCGGTCTAAACCACCTTTTTTGTTCTTTATGTTTGGATACACAACCATGGAATCATAAAACCAAAGGGTGTCTACAAGACCTAGCAGATTCTTCCACCTCTTGGACAGAATCTGTGTGGAGGCAACCACTTTTGTCGCAAGTGAAGACAGAATTTTGGTAAGAATCTCATTTGGCAAATTGCTGATCAAATTTCTGGAAGAAGAACTCATACGGATAACTTAGGGCTTGAATCACTTTCTCTCTTAGAAATTACGTACACACAGCCATAAATTAGGGCTTCGTGCTTGAGGATAGATTTTGGGAGGTCTTAACTAAAAGTTTATGTAAAATTTGAATTTAATAATTATTACCCAAGGAAAATGAAGTAAAAAATATGTAAAAATATTCCTAAAATGAAAAACAAAATAAATAGGTTAAGTTAGGGTTTTGTAGAGAAACAAAAGCTTGACGAAGACAGTTAGGTTGTGTTTTCCGCTATTGCGCATCCGCCAGAAGAAAGGGAACAGAACAAGGTTTAAGCGAGTGCCCACCAGCAGAATGTCAATCTCTTGTCCAAATCCGAATCCGAAACGTATCTACATTCCTATCGATATCAAGATCAATATACTTTTAAGATTGCCTGTGAAGTCTTTACTTAGATTTCGATGTGTCTCCAAGCTTTGGTCCTCTATCATCACCAGCCAATATTTCCAAAACAAACACATAACGACTATTACTGCTTCCTCAGCTCCTCCTAGCCTCCTCATCACTTTCCTCGCCCCTTTCGGTACCATTTACGAAAACCTGCTTACGTTGGTCTTATGTCCTAACCTTAAAACATCGTTGTATCCCTCTTCTTCATGTCGTATACCTTCTAGAGATATAGATATGAAACTGCTCAAAGTTGAAGATAGAAAGGTGTATAATTCGGTTCGGGGCTTGATCTGCATTGGAAGTAGATTTGAGGTGGAGATATATAACCCTAGCACAAGCCAGCAATATATTTTTCCTCAAATCAGTATTGCAGGTTTATTTTGTAAATCTACCGTTTACTATTTTGGTTATGATCCTGTTGAAGATCAATACAAAGTGCTCGCCATTAATGATATGCGAATGCAATTGTATCACAGTGTTGTGGTATTGGGAAGAGATGGAGTTTGGAGAGAGGTTCCATGGTTTGGCTATCTTCACCATGCTCAGACCTCGGGGCTATGTATCAACGGAACCCTTTACTATGGGGCTATTAGGACGTACAACAAATTCTCTATAGTTGTGAGTTTTGATGTTAGGCTTGAAACCTTCAACATCATTAAAGGACCAGTGTTTGAGAAGCTTAATAATGAGTTTAAAAGCGATTTTACGGATAAAACTCTTATTAACTTTTGGGGGAAAATTGCTGTTGTCGAGAAACCTCGTCGTGGTAGTTTTAGAATGTGGGTTCTAAAAGATGCTAAGAAAGAGGAATGGTTCATGAACATATATCGCTTGCCCGAATCTGCTGCTTGCCTTGACTTAGACGTCATGACCTACTTTTATGCCGGCGAGATTTGTCTGGTTTCAAAAAAACTGTCTGATCCGTTTTGTCTTTTCTTTTAAAACTTGAAGATGGAACGCATCAGAAATGTCATAATTGAAGGACTGCCTATTTCCGTTCTTAAGGAATTCAGTTACCTTACTATGACGGTCTCAGATCATTATGATAGCTTCATGTCCATATTAACATGAAGTTATAAGTTTTTTAGGGCTTTTCATTTTATATTTGCTTATTCTTATTTATATAAGTTAAGATTTTGTTTTGAGAACCACCATAATTCAAAGATTTTAGTTTAAAATCATGGCAACTAGTTGGTGCTCTTAAGATGATCCATCTCATCTTCCCTCTTCTGCCTTTAAGGAATTGTCTTGCCCAATTTGGGACTTTAATTTACAATTATTATAGCTAGGAACTATGGTTAACTATTTGATGATTTTATAATTGTCATTAGTTTAGTACAAGTTTGTAACCAAACAGTTTTTTACAATGAAAACTCTTTGACGTAAGTTCCAAAAAAGACATGATAGTGTTGAAGAAACAGATGATAAGTAGATTGTGAACTTTGCTTTGTTATTTTCTTTCATGTTTTCAGGTTTCACAGACTCGTGGCTGCAACATTTCTTTTCCAATAGGCTTTAGTATCACCTCATCATTCATGTGTATTTCGTGGCCTGTTCCTTGAAAAGATTGGTTTTGATTAGATTTAGGAGTAAAGCCTTTGACTTTAGCTGTATTACTGTTAAGCATTCAAGTGCTTGTCGATCAAAACATGATGTTGATTCTGACGGATTTCAGGTAATACAGAGCAACGTTTTGTTAGATCAACAATTAAGGTTGTTGAAGATATTGATGTTAAGAAGAAAGAATTGAAAGTCTCCAGCATTGATTTCATGGGGCTTGGCTTTGCTGATAAGAAGAGCACAAGGGGGCTTCCAGCGGGGACTATCTTCCTGAAGGAGACTTACCTGAGGTGGACTATCTTCTTGTTTAGTGTTGGTGAATTAACAAGATTTGCGGAGAAAGTGAAGGAGGTCGAGCAAGAAGGAGATGGAAACTCTGATGTGTATAAGCCCAAAGTTTCTACTTAGTGAGTTTTCCCAAGACCTAGCAACATCTCTAAGACAGTATGTGATTGACCCATCTAAAGATATGTGTTATGCAACTGGATTAGTTGTTCCAAAAACCCCAAGGGGAAAGAAGTTTCATGTCCAATGTTGTTAAGATAGGGTCGATAGAGCCATTTACTTCCGATATTTACAAGTAGGAGTACCAGAAGGTTTCATGGGTTTATCATTTAGTTCGCGTATCATTTAGTCTACTCTGAAATATGATGCATTAAAAATGACTTGTTGGTGTATTTTCCTCTAGCTATAAGTGTAGGAGCAAAAATTGCAACACTACGAAAGATGATTGAAATTTACGAAATCATAAACCCAGAAAATAACAAGTGGAGGCGAGTTATAAAACTCTTTCCTTAACTCTTTGAATCACCCGTAGTGCGACGGGAATCTAAGATTCAAGAGTCCCAAGATACAACCACACTAATCGATTTCGCAAGCACTCGAAACTCGATTCTACACGAACAACAACTCTACGATACTCTCAAAACTTACTCAAAAAACTTGGAGATTTGACGGAATTTTTGATTTGATTCTTTGTGTATAAACGTATGTTTGTTGCTCTCTTTGTGTATAAACGTATGTTTGTTTCTCTTTTTTTTTTTTTTCAACACAACAAAACAACATTTATAGAAGAATGGATTTTGTTGCCTTCAACCAATTCCACAACAAATTCTAATCAAATCATGAGTGGGAGTGAGTGATTAAAACTCCACCATTCCATGGTTTTAGGCTTTGCCCACCCTACCACCATTAGTGATACTAGGCACCACCATTAGTGATACTAGGCTTTGCCCACCCCACCATTTCTCTTCACCATTTCTTATTTTACTAAGCCTATTTGGCTTTAGTGAAAATAAGTCCAACAATAAGTACATTCTGGATTGTTGGTTGTGGTATTAAAACTTGCTTAGTATTCTGAAGTGAGCTAGATACAGATAGTTCTTTGAATTGTTTTGAGTAATTCATTCTTGTTGATGGTCTGCAAAATTCTATCAACGCTGCTGGATTTATATCCCTCGTTTTAAGCTAGATGATAAGTAAATACATGTAACAACTTGAACCTCTAAAACTAATCCATTCATGGTCATACGTGGGAAGCCAATTTTGGCGGTATGTATTTGCATCTTCTGATGAGAAGTTTATCAACTCTTAACTTCAATGGTTTTGGAATTTATACTTTCATGTTGACATCTATGGTCTCAAGTCATGAGGATTGAGATATATACTTTTCTTGTTTAAGTTTGGTGGTGGAAGGACACTCCGACCGGGGGATTCAGTTGAGACCGCTGAAGAGAGGATTGTGAGAGAAAAGCAGACAAAAAAATTTCTCATAGCCTACAAGGAATCAATCGGACTGAATATTGATCCCAAACTCAAACTTGAGTGTGAGAAGGTACTCCAAAAATACATTTTTGTTCTTCCTTTTTTGAGGACAGACCTGATGCTGAAGTTAATTTGGATGTAATATTGCAAAAAAAATTCTCATTTACCGAGTAATTTTGCTCTCAATGAGAATGCTCCAATCTATATTTTATAAATTTCTAGTCGCTGTCTCTAGAATCCTATTTATAGATCATATAGAGCAAGGATATGGGTTCAGCTGAAACTCTGACATGGACTCATCTTCAATCAAGCAGATTCTCTTATTTTAATATTAGAGTTGCATGTTGCCACATTTTCTAGAAAGTTGAAAATTTGATTTGAGTGGAGAAGAACTAGAAAAGGTTATGTGCTTTATCTACAGGCATGTCTGCTCCTATCTGTGTTTCAAGGTAGCTACAATCGTTTTGCTCATCATTCACTTCTTTCCTTGATTGTGATACTTTAATTATAACAGGCAATAGACGAGGGGAACTCGCTTATGGATTCTGGGAGACTCAAGGAAGCTTTGCCATACTATGAAAAGGTCATGGAGAAATTTCTGCAAATCTGGTTTATTGTTCATGTCTACGTTTATGCGTAAGTCTACTAATACCTTTCTATATATGCCTTGCTTGTTTTGACTGCATGAGACTTGTTCATTATCTACCCAGCAGTATTTTGCATTATTAGTTTCATTGCTTTGTTGGGTGTCACTCTATCGAAATCTTAATCGATTGATCCACCTAGATCACCTAGAGTAGTCTGCTTCAGATGTGACCTTAACTAGTTACGAGTTTAGTTGTGCAGAGTGAGCTTCATGGACTAGCGGCTTTGCAGTGGTCTATTTGTCAGGATTCACTTCGAAAGTAAGTTTTTCTCTCCTTATAATTTCGGTTGATGCAACTACAGGGTGACAACTGACAAGTATTTCTCCATGAGTATTTGACTTTGTAATAGACTCGTATATATTTGTATTTGTAAACCATACTCCCAAAACTCTATCAAGCTCCAAAAGTCCCCAAGAAAACCACAAAATACTTGAAGCATCCCCTGTTTATACCTACCAAGTTGATGGCTCATTTGTGAATGTTCTAAAATATCCTCAAAAGTAGTCTTGTTGAGTGATGTCAAAAAAAAAAAGAAAATGTATTCTTGTTGAGTATTGTGGCAAGGCGCATGTATGAGAAGCTTCTATCCCACCCGAATCCGAGAGTGAGCAAGAAAGCGAGGCAGTTGATGTTCAGTTTTCAGGTAACTCAAACACCCACAAAAGTACTATACCAACAAATGACAACAAGCAAGATGAGTTGAGTTTGCTATCTGACTATGATCGGACAAGAGCCAATTCAACTCTTTTTGTTTGCTTATTGTGTGACTAATGATAAAAAAAAAATGTTGGCTTAATAACTTATTATATCCTCTGGTTTTTGGCAAACAATTTCCCTTAAAAATGTGAGGGTTTTTCTTTACACACTTGTAGGCAATGGAGATGCTGAAGGTTAAGGGGTCGAGCTTCATGGAGGGAAACACTGGTTATCAGGACTACTTTGAAGCCTTTGACAAAGATAAAACGAATTACAAAGCGCAGGAGGAAAAAGAAGGAGAGGCAATGGGGATATGTGATTCTTTTTGCGTCTCCGATTCTAATGGTCTTCATTTTGTGGCTGCACTGAGAGGGAATATGCACTGAAGTCACAAAATCTTGTCAACTTCTTTACATGTAAGTGTTATAGATACAATATATAGGTAATGCGATGCAACACAGCTAATTTAGTCGTTGTTTGGTTTGCATCTGTTATTGACCTTAACTAAAAATTCATTTGTTTTTTTTTGGTGTGTACTAAAATTCATTTGATTACATTTAAGGATCACACACAAAGCTTCTTTTTTTTTATTATTATTATTAATTGAAAGAACATAACAGAATATGAGAATCAAACACCAAAGAGAATAAATAAACAAAGCTCTTGTTGATCCTAGTTTCTTCTACCTTTGGTTGAGTCTGATACTTCATCTCTATAAATACTAAAACATAAAACAAACCCAACTAGGAAAAGAATAAAGAAATTGAAATCCACCTTTAGAACTAGGAATCCCCAAGTTGACTCAAAAGACTTAACCACACTTTTCACATTTCATTCCATTTAGCAAATAGTAATGTCCTGTGTAATGATAAACCCTGAGTGACTGTTTCATAAGATTTGATCATCCATGGCCACACCACCACATGTCACAAATCCTGACTGCTTCTTGGTCTGGCCCTGACCAGCCGCCGACCCACCTTTACCTCCTCCGGCAGCACCACCAGCATTAACGGTTGTAACTTTAAACCTTTCATCTCTTAGATCTGATGGACCCAATTTAACCCATTTCGAGGTGACACGTGACGAAGCAGCACTGAGACTCCTCTGCATAGTCATTGACTTTGTAGGAGGACGAGAATCTTGTTTGAATTGGGACACAGCTGAGACTCCTCTGCATAGTCATTGACTTTATAGGAGGACGAGAATTATTAGAGTCTTGGTTTATTCCGGTTTAAATGTTGGTTTGGTTATCTTATGATTGTATATATAAGCTTAATCAGAGATTAATTAGTCTTTGAGTTGGTAACAAACATTTTTGATTTCTCTTGAATAAGAAAGTCTGTTTCTTCCGTTACAACTCCGATCTACTCTCGTCGCCGTCTTTGATACTCCGATCATCGGAGTTTAATATGGTATCAGAGCAAACTAATTGATCTTCCGCATTCTTCTTTCATCGGCGATGAGTTTTCCGATTGATTTTCTTCAACGATTCTACCTTTTTTCTTTTTGAGCTTCTTTGAGCTGTTCGCCGGAATTGTTCTTTGTTTCTCTTTGTTTTTGACCTTTGTGTTGACGAATTTCTTGTTTCTATACCTAATTTCGTCACACATTTCTTTGTAATTTCTCATTTCTTACTCTGAGAATGGGATCTTATGTACCTCCATCTTCGACGGACAATCCGGTGAATGCTTCGACGATTAGACCTAATCAAGATCAGTCTCACTATCACTATCAGGTGGATCGGTATGAGAATCCATTTTTTCTTCAGCAATGATCACGCAGGTCTTGTTCTTGTCTCTGATAAACTTACTCAGGCTTCTGAATTTCATTCTTGGAGAAGATCTGTGTGGATGGCTTTAAATGTGAGGAATAAACTAGGTTTTATCGATGGAACTTTAAAGAAACCGCCTATAGATCATAGAGATTATGGTGCTTGGTCTAGGTGTAATGATATTGTCACAACGTGGTTGATAAACTCTGTTTCTAAGAAGATTGGACAAAGTTTACTTTTCATCAGTACTGCTGAAGGTATATGGCGTAATTTGCTTTCAAGATTTAAGCAAGATGATGCACCACGTGTGTTTGATATAGAGCAGCGTCTTAGCAAGCTTGAACAGGGATCTATGGATATTTCTACTTATTATACTGAATTGATGACTCTCTGGGAAGAACATAAGAATTATGTTGATCTTCCGGTTTGTACTTGTGGTAAGTGTGAATGTGAAGCGGCTGTTAAATGGGAGAATTTATAGCAACGAAGTCGTGTTACTAAATTTTTGATGGGGTTGAATGAGAGTTATGATCAGACTCGTAGACATATATTGATGTTAAAGCCTATCCCAAATATTGAAGAGGCATTCAATATGTTAGCTCAGGATGAGAGACAAAAATCAATCAAGCCTTCTTCTAGAGTGGATAGTGTGGCTTTTCAGGCAACTACAGATGTTGATGCAGAGAATGCATATATTGCTGCTTATAATACGATGAGATCAGCTCAGAAACCAGTGTGTACTAATTGTGGGAAACTTGGACATACAGTGCAGAAATGTTACAAGATAATTGGATATCCTCCTGGCTATAAAGTCAATGCTTCTGGTTTTAACTACAGGAACACTAATATGCAGATGCAGAATCCTCAGTTTCAACCTAGAATGCAGACTCAAACTCCTCAGTTTCAGCCTAGGATGATGTCATCTCAGCCAAGAATGCAAATGCAAATGGCTCCGACGAATGTTGTTGCTAATATCTACACAGAGTCTATTCCTTATTATGCTGGAGCTGGTTCTCAGACGTATCCCTATATGGTTTCACAGAATTTTCCACAGGTTACTGATGGTGGAAATACATTCAACATACAAGATCTTACTCCACAACAACTCCAGCATTTTCTTTCACAGTTTCAAGCTCAAGTACTAGCACAAGAGCCTGTGACTTCTTCAAGTACTTCTGGTACTACTGCAACAATTACTGAACTCGGTTTGATGGCTCAAACTTCTACCTCTGGTACTGTTTCATTTCCTTCTACTAGTCTTAAGTATGAGAATAATAATCTCACTTTTCAAAACTATACTCTATCTTCTTTACAGAAAATTCTTTCACATGATGCTTGGATAATAGACAGTGGTGCTTCTAGCCATGTGTGTTCAGATTTAGCAATGTTTAGGGATTTAATACCAGTATCTAGTGTAACTGTGACTTTACCTAATGGCACTAGAGTTCCTATAACACACACTGGCACCATTTGCATCACTCAAACATTAATCTTGCATAATGTGTTGCATGTACCTGATTTTAAATTCAATTTGATAAGTGTCAGTTGTTTAGTCAAAACTCTGTTTTGTTCTTCTCATTTCTTTCCTACTTGTTGTTACATTCAGGAACTTTCTCGGGGCTTGATGATTGGGAGGGGTAAACTTTTCAACAACTTATACATTTTGGATATAGAGAAGCCATCCCTCTCAGCATCTCTTCCTACAGCATGTTCTTCTTTTTCTGGTTCTGTTTTGGCTGATGGAATTCTTTGGCACCAACGCCTTGGTCATCCATCAACCGCAGCTTTACAAAAACTTGTTAGTGTCATTCCTTCTTTAAAAAGTATATCATCTGATGTTTCACAATGTTCAATATGTATGATTGAAGACGTACATAACACTGCGTCACTGCCCATCTTCTTGGGTAGCGGATAATAACAAGATGTTCAATGTTCAATGTTCAATATGTATGATTGAAGCGGATAATAACAAGATGTCTCGAAGTGGGTCTTCTTGGGTAGCGGATAATAACAAGATAACACTGCGTCACTGCCCATCTTCGTGAGTAGCGGTTGATCTTTTGAATGAGAGAATCTACAGAAGTGGGTCTTCAGAGGAAGTGACGAAGCTACAAGGCTGCTATTTTCAGAAGGAATGCAGCGGGGTTTTGGTTAGCATTTTGTTTGGAGTAAGCTGGGCAGTGTGCGGATTTACTTGTCTTGAGAACGAATTCTCTTGTGTGACTTGTTACTTAAGGAACAAGGAATCTCATCTCGGGTGGAGCATTGATTTCTCAGAGGGTATTTCTTGTGTTTTTGATCAGTTATTCAAGTGACAAGAAGGAGAATCTGATGGTAAGCGATTAACTGTACTACTTACTTGAGTCGAAAGTCTTCCTAGCCAAAGGGTGTTAGGCGGCGTGTTCTGTTCTTTTGAACAGCGGTACAAGGGAAGTGTATGGTAGTTTTGCTAGAGGAAAATACAAGATTTGAAGTATGAGATTGAGGTATGGTTTGATGATGTGTCAAAAAATGTTGCTACATCATTAGATCATGAAGAAGGCTCCAAGTAGAGGTGACAAGGCTGCAGAGGTTTTAAAGGATTGTTCTTGGTGGTTCTTTTGGGTAACAGTGGAGCAATGTGACAGTGAAGAGTGGCTGAACTTAGAAAGGTGTTTTGAGCTTATAGAGACGAATTAACATCCAATGGTTATTATGGTTCTGGTGGAGCCATTTTTCCGTGGAGGTTGAGTTCAAACGAAGAGATGGAAAGCTACAGAAGCCACTGTGGGTACATGTCCTGTTTACTAAAAAGAAAGGGAAGTCAAGAATGGTGCAAATCAACACGTTCAAGATCCAAGGGTAAGAAGACTCTTACATTTTTTGGCTGAAGTTTGTTGATATTACAGAGGGATTCTCAGAAGGAAGAAACGAAATGGGGACAAGTGCTAGTGATGCGAGAATGGTGTGTATCTAGCTTGATACACAACACATTAAGCTAGTGGTTAGCTTCTGGAAATGTAGGGTCCTAGAAAGGGCGAAAATGCATAGAAATCGAAGATGCATTTGGAGGATAACGACTAAGATCTCTTGAGGTCGTTTGTCTACACCAAAGGGGAGTTTTTGTAAGTATGCTCTCAAGGAAAGAACTCATTATGGACGTTCAAGAGAAGAGTCTTCAAGTATGATGTGATGATTAAGAAGAAGAGACTTCGGTTTAAGTCTGATATTGAATGGTGCATGGTTCAAGTTGTTTGGTGGAGTTTCTGCGGGTTTTGCAGGTGTGTCTACAGCTAAGAGTGACGTCAAGGGTTCTAGAGTTGATGTGTAAGGGGATTTGAGGACGTGGCTCAAGGGTATCACAAGGTTCTGTTGGTATGAGACAAGATAAAGATCGCCAGAAGTGATTAACATCTGTTGGTGATAAGTTTTGTGGTTAGAGAAGGATTGGACAAGGGTTGTGTCCAAGGTATGTTTTATTAAACATGGTGTGTAGAGGGCAATTCTAAAATGGTCTAAGCTATTGTAGAGATTGACGACATAGTGAATTGAAGAGCTTCAAGTTCGAGGCTAAGTTGATTAATCGGTTTTCTGATAATTGATTCAAGGAAATTCAGAGGATTTTGATCTCAGTGCACATGAGTAAATCATAGGAGCTATAGCAAGGGAATCACATTTTTTGCAGAGGGTTATATGGTTCTTCAATCACTGAAGACGTTCTTGGGGTCTTTACAGAAGCCATGGTGGAGAATGTGTGATTGGATGGTTCATAAGTGGTGGAACTTATGGTTTGCTAGTCATCTCAGGATCGTTTGACCGTGTGAAGTATCACAGCGGAAGCGTGTTGAATGTAAGTTCAATACAAGAGGATCAATGATAAGTTGGGTTGGTCATATGGATTTTATGGGCTGGTTATGCAACTCAAGGAGAAGACAAGTATGTTACACGTTTGGAGCAAATCAAACGTTCTGTTGGGTTATTGATGGTGTTGTGGATTATTATTATTATTATTCTACTAAGGTGTTGTGTGTGTATGTTCATACATATGCAGGTTCAAAGTATAAAACTATATTGTTACTTTACGTAATAATATTATCTGAATTTAGCGAAAAAGTGTTATGATTGATAATATTTAAAATTTTAGAAATATTTCAGTTTTAAAATTGATATATTAAAAATAAGTATGTTGGGTAATTCTAAAATTGTATGGAAGTTGAAAGGTCATACATTTTTCATTTAAAAAAAAAAATATATATATATATATATAGTGATATATGAATCTTATCACATACTTAAAATCGATATGTTTGGTATTTCAAAAATATTATGAAAGTTTTTTCTTTATTAGAAAGAATGAAAATTGAAAAGTCATACATTTTCGAGTTTTTTTTGTTTATATAAAAAATGTTACTTATGACAAAATAACTAAACTAATAGTTGATTAGCTTATAAATAAAGCTAAACAAAATGTTAAAATATCGCTTAATATTATATTTAAAATTGACAAGAAAACTAAAAATATAATTATGTATACCTTTAATTTTAGATTTGCATAAATACAATATAAAAAATTATGAAAGTAAATGTATAAATGCATTTGATAGTAATACAAACATTATGCACTTATTAAAACTATAAAACAGTTATTTAAGAAATATCAAAAATAGGTAAAAAGAGCACAATTACAACAATGGATTTTATAAGATAAAAACAATAATAATAATAATAATAATAATAATAATAATAATAATAATAATAATAATAATAATAATAATAATAATAATAATAATAGATTATAGAAATATCAGAACTGGGTGACAAAATTAGTCTCACAAAGTTAAAGGTCTAAAGAGAAACTAATATATATTATAAAATAAGTTATATATATAACTCCTTTTTTGCATCTAAATATAATAGATATAAATTTAGAAATGACAAACCACATTTAAAATGTCACATTTGCATTTTATAAATAGAAGATGTTATGCATATATATTTATGCAGTAAAAGAGAATATATATAACTAATGGTTATAGAATTACTAAGTTGTACAATAATAACAACAAAAAAAAAATGTTTAATATAAGTAGTAAATCACTAAATCTATACCATTATCACGTATAACATTTTTTTATTTTTTTTTATATAATCGTACTATTACCAATAAAGCTTCATATAGTATTGTAATAAAAATATTTAAAATAATATAATTTACAAAATTATAAAAATTGAAAATATATCACTGAATCCACGCAAATGGGTGGGTCTATTTCTAGTAATGTATCATATCAATTAATGAATAAACTTCCTCATGAAGACAAACATTTTTCATGAGTTTTATACTTTTACAAGATTGGGGATACATGTGTTTTGTTTTGTGTGTTACATATATACATGTGTTTTGTGGTGGTTACATAACAAATATGAACACATATATTTTTTATTTTTTATCATTAAATCCACATATTGAAAATTAATTTCAGAACCTTGAGAGTGGATAATTTCATTGTAAAATTACTTTAACTATACAATATTATTTATTTGAATGAAAAATGCATGCTTGATTGATCTAATATATTTTTTTTTAGAAATTGTGGGCTTTAAAAGCCCGTAAGCTACTAGCCCATAAGTAAGGCAGAGGTGTAACTGATTTTGGCGTGTAGTGAGAATTTGAAAAAATGATAATAGCGCTCAAGACAGTAGCTTGAAGCAGTAGTTGCTCATTCTCTTCTGCGATCAATCATCTTCTCCGATCAGTCACTTCCTATTCTCTCCGTCGTCTCTGTATTTGAGGAGGATTGCTTTGCTTACTTCATCGATCAGAGGTATGTATTCTCATTTCTTTACAAATCCATTCTTGCTTCTGGAATAAAATTGCTGAAGGAACTAGATAGTGGATGCAAATTTCTGATAATAGATTTGGATTTTCTGATAATCGATTTGGATTTTCTGGTAATCATGAGAATGAATTTGGATTTTCTGATAATCATGAGAATCTGATAATCATGATAATCGAATAATCCCAATCGATTCTTGTTTCAGCCTCGATCATGTTTCAGAAGGAGGCTTGTGCGATTTGCTGGGAGGAGTTTTCAGCTCCTGAGATGTTTGAGGTTGCCGGTTGCTTGCACAGCTTCTGCTTGGATTGCATGAGAAACAGTATTGCAGTAAGCCTAGGGCAATGGGGAACAGCAGTAAAGTGCCCAGGGTTTGGTTGCAACTCGGTACTTCTGGCAAAGGACTGTCACAACATTGCAAATCATGATCAAATTGCTCTTATGATCCAACGTGAGGAGGAGGACAAGATTCATGTTTTGGATAGGGTCTACTGCCCAAACCCAACTTGTTCTTTTCTCATGTCAAAAGGTAGCCTTGGTGCTTCTCAGACTCAGACGGGAGCTTCTAAGTGCCTCAAATGTAGCTTCACCTTCTGCATTAAGTGCAACACAAAATGGCACGCTAAAATGACTTGTGTTGAGTTCCTTAAGTCCAAGGATTATAAGAAATCTCAAGATGCACTTTTTGAAGCTGCATCCAGGACCCTCGGATGGAAGAAATGTCAAAATTGTCAGTCCACTGTCGAACGTATTGAAGGCTGTAACCACATTACGTGCAGGTATCTCTCCTTGTCTTTTCTTAAGGGTGTGTTGGATTGGATTTAATGAGATTTAACTCTTGCTTTGGTCAGTCGATGCAAACATGAGTTTTGTTACACTTGCGGAGCTCCCTGTATAAAGAAGAAGGCTACATGCAAATGCAATATCTGATGCTTTAGTTCAATGGAGGTATGAAGCTGCTTTAGTTCAATGGAGGTATGAAGCTATGTTTGATAAAGTTTGCATATAACTGGAATCAGCTTATGTTTGATAAAGTTTGCAATTAGATTTGTAAATAAGTGGAATGGGCAAGACTCTTTTTGATAAAGAGAGTTTGATAAAATTGTCTCACTCCAGTAGTCACTTGTTGCAAGACTCTGTTTTTGTGTAAACACATTTAGTTGATTCATATATCGATTTAAGACTCTGTTTTATTCTCTAACTACATTAAAAAAAAAAAAAAAAAAACACTCTTTCGTTTGACAAAACAAAACATTCCTTCATTATTCATCACTGCTTCTGTTTCTTTGGCGTGTTGGCCTCAGAGGAATCGCAAGGCCTGATTGATTAATTAGAACAAGATTTCAAAGTCTCTTTTGCATCATTGTTTCCATCTTTAACATTCAGTATCTCGGCCATAGATCTCGCTTTCACTCTTGTCTGGTCCTTAGTTCCAGCTGCGATATCTGTTTCCTTGCCTTTGTTGCCTTCGGGTTGTGAACTTGTGGTGGCTGGAGAAGCACAGTATTTTTGATCTATGCCTGCCCATCTGAACATAGAGCTGAGCTTCTACGAGAAGATTCAACTCATCGATATTGTACATATAGAGAAAACTCTTTCTGTCACACGGACATGCACAGAGCTTCCTCATGTGGCCTAGACACGAGTAACGATCAGCAGAGCATGAACAATTAACAGCGGAAAGATACAAATCCCCAAGACATACATAGCATTCCCTTTTGGTCACAGCATCATAACTCTTGTCCATCCTTTGCGATTCTAGTGAATTACTAAGAAATTCAAGTCTGTTTTTCTCCTGCTTGATCCGTGACTACACAAACGAGAGAAATAATATAAGCATAAGGTAGAGAGGAAATTCTTCACGCTACACAGGTTTGGTTTAGTGCATAATATGAGGAATAAGACAGGCAAAGAGGAGCAGTGAGCATTACCTTGACTATGTTGGAGAACAACCCATCCGTCCCACCAGAATCATTCCATCTCATGTAACATGCTGTGTTTTTCTTGGACAAAGCATATTCCTTAAGACATTTCACAGCTTCCCTTGCAGCACTTAATAATAGCTTATCATACGATGTTAGGGACTTTTTACTCTTCTCTTGATTCAGCTGAACAGCAATATCCCCATGGGGCAACCAATCACGGGGAGCAAAATCTGCTTTCTCCAAACAGTTGAAGCCAGTGTCAAAGGCAGAGTAATACGACCCTGGAAATATAATAACATACTGGCCAGGGTTCTAGACACAGCGGGTCACTGGTATACCCTCCATGCTCAATTGATATGGAGACATTATCATCACCTGCCAAATGAATTGCTTCCCTTGTCAATGAACCAAGACTAGTATTTAATAGCTCACAAAAATTTAACAAAGTTATGATAGGCTTTGCTTTGAACAAATAAATCCAAATACTGTGTGATCTCTCTATGTCATGCCATGTTTATGCTGAACAAGAACTAAATCGAAAGTGGAATCGTTGTTGGTCACTCTTCTGTCTATTTTCTTTAGGGATTTTGAAATGAGTAACTTTTGATGCTTAATGTGTTCTAATGCTTACAGGATCATGACTCTTCTTTGGCTGTTCTTCTGACATCTCAGGGATGAAGCTTTTCATGGCAGCCTTAAACTTTGATCGATGACATCCTGCTACAGAATACCACACTCTAGGAGCGCCCACATACAAATAGCAGAGAGAGTAGAGTCTCTCCTTCTCAGATTCCTGTTCAGTAACAGATATTCCAAGAGACAAATATGAGACTACACAAGCAAATTTTAGATTAATAAACTTACAATGCTGCAAAATTTATTCTAGTGGTAGCTTGCAAAACAAATGCTATTTCTGCGTTGACCAGTTATGCTTATGCTTTCAGAAAGTGACGAACATAGCTTGACATCAACTTTAAAACTTACCCAGAACTGGGAAGACAAGCACATTCCTACACTTAGGCGAGGAACACAAATTGATTCGCAGCCTTCCAATGATAGAAGAGAACCAGGAAGCTTAGCCGTACTGTTCAGATTCCAACCTGATGAGTACTAGCAAGATTCAGATGGTGCAGATAAGGGAAATCCACTTCCAAAAGTTTCTGTGTCTAGATCATTGCCATAAAGTTAGTGATATACCCCGTTTCATATATAAAAGCAGAAGACTTGATTTTAACATTACCCCAATTTCAATAAGTGGACTCTCAACAAGTTGTCTATACTCTTTTTCAATGTCTGCCACAGTTAGCTCATCTGGTTTAAGTCGTGGAGATGAGTTCTCTGAACCCAAAACCTCATCCTTCATGATAAAATGACTCTTCTTGTATGTATCTGCAAAGTTTTTAAAGGTCTCCAAAGTATACCCAGGACCAAACTGAACCCCTTCAGATGCAGCATCATCACTATCTGCATCAACCTCCTTTTTAATCTTTGGGTTCTTGGTCTGAATTCCAAAGAGCTGAACTTGAGGGAAAATTGTAGAAGCCTCCCATATTTTTTTCTCCTTGAAAAGACATGGAGGTTTCCATGAAGGTGGAGGAACAACACAACAGATTCCATACGGCTCAGCTCTGTCACGCAAGCTTGATATATATGAGAGTGTGTCACTGAATTCCTGATGATTCAGTAACACTGGGTTAGAGGATAAGGAATATATTCCTCTGTAAGAGTACATGTTTGTTTACCAAAGATGATGTAGAGTAGTTTAATACCCTAATTTTTCTTTCATAAAAGGAAAACAAAACTGACCTCTTCGGTTGGGTTGAACACAGGAACTTCCTCAAGGACTTCGGTCTCAGACACTTTGAGGGGCCGTCTTCTCCGTACCTGTGAAAAGAATTTTTTCGTACTTAAGTAAAGAATGTGAAAGACTGAACACACAATCATGATACCTATGCTCTCATACGTCTAAAAGGCATAGTAGACCTACCCGAATCAGCACATCCAGCTCTAAAGAATTCATGCTAAATCACTTAAAACACTAAAACCATAAGGGGCTAGTAGGGATATGCAATCCACAACATGAACATCTCCGGCTTAACTAACAACTTATACATCAATCAAGTAAAATGTCTATTAGTAGTAATGACTATGCACACATTCCAGAAATATCTCCTCTTTGAACTCAAAATAATAGGAAAACATAACTATCTTGAATAAACAAAAGGAAAAGCATTCCTCCACAACAAATTGGCTCTTGCTCCAACAATGATACTCAAAAGACCCTCCAACAAGGCGTAGAACCCTTGTCCACACGGCTAAGCTAAGAATTCTCAAATAAGTATATTCCCTGTACTGCTCTTCACAACAGCATACTAAGAAAAACTCCTCTATATGGAAGAAAGAGAGGAAAGAGGTAGACATAGTAATGAGACCTCAGTTTTTCTCGGCCTTAAGGCCTCTGAGCTGGGAATTTTGTGATCATGCACTATCCACGGTCGGTTTGTAAGAAACATATTGCAACTATCTTCACCACCTGGGCCGAATCCAGTTGTCTGCTCTTGTGTCGACACCGACCTGGATTTTTCTTTGTCTCGGCGTACATTCCTCAGCACAAACGATGTTTGAGATACAAAAACCTGGCGGAGTTGAAATTATGTCCATGTTTCCAGATTTCAAATGCGCAGGCACACCTTCAATGCCCATTAAACCTTACAGCCACCGAAAACGACTGATTTCCCGAAGAGGAAATATATTTAACTTCAGATGAGGTCAATAAAGATGCAACTTCCTGCAGGAGATTGGAAAAAAATCTAATGTCAAATGCTGTGTTTTTCTTGGACAAAGCATATCTATAATTCTCGTATTCATATCTTTTAGTAATAGATATTGCTCTTAAACGATGCTAAAGTGGAAAAGTGGAATACTGCAGCTGTAGTAAGCAAACCATAACCTAATTCAATTCAAACTTAAAGCACATTAACGAAATTGCTCCATTACATAAACTCTTAAAGCACATTAACGAAATTGCTTCATTACATAAACTCATTAGTGTATATCCATTAAATAAAATCCAAACAAAAGTATTTTCCAGAGTTCTTGTTCTTGTTTGAGTCTGCATATGCTCCAGAACAGAAAGAGGGCTAGATCGGTGAGCTTCTTCCGAGTGAGTCTTTCCAGCATTCACACTGCAGTTCATTAGAAGATCAGCACAAGGTTCTACATAAGCTCACACTGTTATGTTTTCATTTCCTCTAAACTAGAGTATTCACACAAAAATTCATCTTGTCTACTATCTTCTCAGTAGCATATCACTAATATCTTCAACATCATCAAAATAAGTCATCTTGTCTTATAAGTTATATAAAAAACTATTTGGAATGAGATCCATATAGTCAAACCTTGGATCTTTATTTCCCTGAACGCGAGCATTTACAAGTCAGTTTCTTCTTTTTACACGCAGCACCACATGTGTAACAAAACTCGTGTTTGCAGTGTCTGCCATGAACAAATAATTAAAGTCAAATTTGAACAAATAATATAAAACCAGGCTCAATAACAAATGTCCAATACCTGCAAGTCATTTGTTTGCACCCGCCACCATGTTGAACGATGCTCTGACACTGGGAACACTTTTTCCATCCCTGTGACTTCACAAAAGACTCCAAAAGCGCCGCGTCAGATTTCAGGTAAGACTCCGACTTCTTGAACTCATCGCAGGTCTTCTTGTAGTGCCATGGAACATGGCATTTTTTGCAGAAAGACAAGCCGCACTCCATGCACTTCCGTGCTTCTGACTGCCGAGGATTATTGCGTACGTGCCTAATGAGGTCGAGGTCCGACATCAAAAAGGAACAAGAAGGGTTGGGACAATAGACTCTGTCTTTAACGGGGATCGCCTTCTCCTTCTTGCGCTGGATCATAAGAGTAATAGCATCAGCATCAGCAAAACCTCTACAATCCTCTGGCACAAGATCATTCTCGCAATCCGGGTAAGGGCAGATTGCTGTGTTCCCTCGTAGTAGTTGTTCGGATGAGAACGGCTTCCTCATGCACGTAACGCAGATGCGGTGGAAGCAGCCGCTCACCTCAAACTTATCATTAGGAGAAACGTAAGCGTAGCAGACTGGACAACTCTCATACTCGGTGTCGCCTTCACACCATCTAGTTTGGGAAGCTATAGCATCTTTTGCTAGCTTAATGACAGAAATAATATCTCCGCTTAGAGCAAGTGCCTGACAAGAAGTGAATCTTGTCTGAAGAAGAGACACTTGCTCCAAAAGTTTTGCTACAATGGACTCCTTCGGTGCAGCTTTACCAGTAACCTGTAAAAACATGGGAGGCCTGAATAACACACACGTACAGGATATTGGGTTCAGGGTAAAAGAAGAGAGAAACTTACGTAGGCCAAGATCTTGGAGTCGTCACAGAAGAATTGGATACTTTGAACACCAAGTTCCAAGGCCCTTTTCAAACCGTGAATGATGGCAGCCAGTTCTGCAGCTTCTGGGTGTGCCAGCTTTTGGTTTCTCAGAGCTTTATTAATCTCCAGTATCGTGTTATCGTGCGAGTCACAGAGGGACAAACCTAAACCAACGACCAGCATCGTATCATCCTTAATAAGCTCTTCACTCACCAAACCCTTGGAGTTTAACCGATAGGTATGAGCTGTGGATGAGGATCCTCCGAGGATTCTCTGAGGAGGGTTCTCCAAGGAATCAAGATCGAGATTAGCTAACAAACGGTCACCAAAGGGATGAGGCTTTCCGGCTTTTCTGCAATTGCACCAAAGCAAACCAAAACGTTAAAGAAAATTAGATTAAGAACCAAAGATTTCTCAATTAGTCCAAACCATTGCGCATCTATACGCTTAATTAAGCTAGCAAAGTTCAAATATTAGGCATTAATAATACAAACGGTAGACTGAAGCATGGGAGAAGCAGCAAACTCAATACTATATGAATCCAAAAAAGCTCTTAAATCTCTCGAGAAGACACTAAATTTTAAAATCTTAAATCGTAAATTCAACATCAAAGTCCAGAAAAATTAAGTGTACCTGTGTTCACCAGTACAGAACTGTCTGACGTTTTCAGCCGTTTTGGGAGCAATGTCGGCGAAGAGCTCCATCTTGATACGATCGGCGGGGACACCACCAATAGAAACGTCGAAGACGCCAACTGGGTTTTTAGGGTTCGGTGATCGGACGTGCCATTCAACATTACCACCTCCGCTTGAAGGATCTGCTGCTGTAGCTGCTTCAGCAACGATTCCTCCTCCGAAATTCATCGGAACTTCGAATCTTTGTTTGATCTCTCTTCGGCAAAACCTTTTTCCCCTTTCTTTTGGGATTTTAATCTCGTCCGCCCCCTCTTCTCAAAAGATTCTCTATTAAGCCCCGTTATAAATTCTTTTTACTTAGTTATTTATTTTAACTCGAATAATTGGTAAAAAACAATAAAATTTAGGCTTTTGGACATAATTACAAATCCAACCTAAGTTTGGATCTATATCCATTTATGTTGGGTTTCATTGTCGGATCTTTTAAACTCAAATCCTCAAAATCGACAATCTGAAGAGAATCCCTAATCTTTTATTTTCTTTTCCTTTTCTCTCTCGAAGAAGAACGAAGAACTTGAAGAATTCACCGAATCTTTCCGCCGTTCTTCTCTCGTAGATCTACGCTACTCTCGTCAAAGCCAATATACGACATCAAGATCCTCTCTGTTGGAGGACAAACAAAGGTAACAACTTTTGTAAATCTTGACAGCAAGAGGAATGGGCGTTTCACTGTCCGAACCAACAGCTCATAACAGTTGCAGATTGCTCTCATGGCTCTTCTTCCCCTTGCTATGTCAATCTACAAGAAGATTATTGGATCGGGAGAGAACTCAGAATGATCTTAGGGTTAGGATGTTTTAATTCTAAATAGAAAATTTTTGTTTTGAGATTGACTTGCTGTTCTCTAGAGATTGGTTATCTGGTATCAAGAGTTCATACCCTTCTCTTGTTGTTCCTCGTATCATCAAGAAAATCTAATTATGTTTTTGCCAAATTTGATTTGCTTTGATTGGAATTATTATCAAAGACTTAGGATTTTTATATGGAAGTTTCTTGTTTGTTTTTTGGTTGCAGATTTCAATTATAAGTAGGTCGTCAAAGAAATAGAGAAGAAGCCAAAATCAAATAATAGACAATGAAGCAGAGAATTTGAGAACAACATTTGGCGATTCACCTTAATTTTTTCCTTTTCTCTCTCAAAGAAAAAGAACGACGAATTCGAAGAACCCACTGAATCCCTCCGTCGTTCTCCTCTCAGAGATCTACTCTACTCTCGTCGCCGGCAAATCTCCAAAAGAAATGTTAGTTGTAATTCAAAAGGATAGTTAAGCCTCCAATTCATGTCAGCAAACCGTATACGAATGAAAAGAGGAAGGAGAAGGTCTGTTGGTGGTTTTAGATATATTGTATGGTTTTTAGTAACAATTGTTCGGTTTGTAATTTGGTTTCTAAGGTTATGTATAAATCTAAGTGTTTAGGTACAACTGGTATGATCACGTACAACTATGTTTCTGGGTTTATGTTTTTTGATTATGTATAAATTTTTGAATCTGAATCTAATTATGTATGAATCTTTGAATCAGATCTTAATATTTTTATGTATGAATCTAAGTATTGAATGTAATCTAAGGGTTTTGAACCAAAAAAATAATCTAAATTATTCAAAAAATCTGACAAATATGTAGGTTTGTAAGGTTTTTGATTAAAAAAAAAAAAACAGTGAAATATCTTGAAATATCTAAATATCTAAAAAGATCTGACAAAAGGCGTACCTGGCGCCGTTATTTTGAAAAAAAAATAATTTAAAAAATAGCACAAATTTGTTCATAGTTGTACAGTTGTACTCGGTTGCACATTTTTTCTCATAGTTGTACAATATAGAGATTTTAGTAAATCTAGTTGTTATCAACTCTAATTTAATTTTTGTGGGTGGAACCGATGGTATTGCCTCATAAAAATACCATTACTATGTATCTGTGTATTTATATTTATCAAAATACAAGTATTTCAAAAATTTATAAATTTTTAGTTCAAATCTACAAAGTAACCATGAAAGTATAAGGTTGTTAGTGTATGAATGTGGGATTTTGAGTAAGAATTTTAGTATTTTTTAAAAATATGAAATTTTTTGTCAAAAACTTGTTGTGTAGTTTCATTACCATCGTGTATGCATTTTTTAAGTTGTTTTAGTTTGGTTTTAAATTTTCAAATTATATAAAATTCTAAAAATTGGCCAATGCAATAGACCTTAGTTGTACCTATGGTACTTAGTTGTACCAAGACTGACAAAATTTGCACAGATACGAGAAGAAAATCAACAATAGTTGTACCTGTAAAACTTAGTTGTACAACACAAACCATATAAGTTTCACAAACAACATCGTTTCTTAAATTATCCTAATAAATGGCACTCGAAAATCAATTTTGGTCACCCGCATCGTCTCCATCAACGTCATCATCATTAGTAAATCACTCGCCCAAAACGCTCGATCTCTGCGACCTCTTCATTGTCCCTGAAAAAGAAAGAGAAAAAAAACGGCCTATAATTTCATAACTTTCGTAGCAGACCATCAACATAGTTGTACGCATTTGTCCCAGTTGTACCAAACTTAGGGTTTCCGTAACTACTTAGTTGTACCCAGTGATTTCAGTTGTCCCAAATCTGCAATCCTAAAATATTTCAACAAATAACCCTATTCAAGCTACGAATTCAACTTAATCATACTACACTAAGAAAAAGTATACTTACCTTACAGTATGTTGGGAATACAAGAAGAAGAAGAGAAGAAATATGTCTTTGGAGATGCAAGCTTTAATGGTGAACTTCAATGGTAGATGGAGAAGAAGAAGAAGAAGAAGAAGAAGAAGAAGAACGTCGGAGCTGCAACGTCGGAGCTGCAACGTCGGAGCTATTGAAGAAGAAGAAGAAGAAGAGAAGAAAGTCTCGTACGTTTTTTTTTGGTGAACAAAAGTCTCGTACGTTTAATGTCTTAAAATGTGAGACATTTGGTAGGTTTGTTTTTTAATGAGAGAAGAGAGAGAAAGTTTTTGATTGGTTGAATAAAAAATATGTTGATATTAAATTAAATGTAGAATTAAAGGGATAAGGGGTAAAGTTGGTTTATGGAAAAATTGGGAAGGAGAGGGGGTAGTGAGAATAAAGAGGGGTTTTGCAAAAAATGATTCTCCCCAAATGGGCCAATAAGATTAAAATCCTTTCTTTTGCTCTCTTATTAGTTTTTCCGGTGCCTTAATAATAGTTAATATTGATGAAAAAGCTGTTTTGGATTTTTGGGCTTCCAACTTTTACCTACTTGGGCTTTTTATGTTTTGGTATTTAAATGGAAAATAGTGTTTTTATATCCTATCCGAATCGTCCGGTCCGGTCCAACCGGTTGACTCGCGATCCAGATACTTTTCTAGCCATTTCAAAACCGGAAAAATCCACGAAAATCTGCCACTAATCTGTGATCTGGTGAACCGGCCAGACCTGGGTTTAACAAAATTCATTTGATTTTGGTATTTTGGAATAAAATATAAGGTTTTAGGTTTTTAATGTATTCACTATTTTATTATTTTTACAACTTTTTCAATTCTTCGGTTCTTCTTAAACGGATTTAGTTGGACTAGGACGAAATCTGCGCTACGCCGCGGAATATTTTTTATAAATTATTTTTATTACTAATGACTTGCTTAAACTGAGATTATGGTACCATGTCCACAATAAAATTTCTATTTAAAATTTTAAATCACTTTATTATTAGTTAGACTTTATATTTTATTAAACGTGGTATGATTATTTTTATTTTTCTATTTATAAAACTATATAATCTCTATATATATTAAATACATTAAATAAATTTGAATCAATTGATCCGTTGTCGGATCCGGTTGACCCAATGACCCGGTGACCCAGAAGATAGTCCGGTTCACCGTCCTCCAAGGATCAATATCAAGCTTGCTCTCCTCATGAGCTAACAAACGGTCTTTACTTTCTTGATCCACACAGTTAAGATCATCCGTGGTGATTGCATCCTTTATCGTTAATTCTTGATGATTTGACGCTCACATACCTCCAAACAGGCTCGGTCTACCGCACAAGCTATGCAAGCAATGCCTTAGCACATCCAAAGAGAGAGGGCATATTTTATGTAACACAAAATATCATAGGTTTTGTTATTAATTCATTTTTTTGTTGGGCTTTAAGATGTTAAGTTAATAAAATATTAATTTAGCGATTTGTTAATAAAAAAATTTAGAAAATTTTGGTTTAGAAAAAACAAAAACTAATCGAAAACATTTTTTTTCTTTTTGTATGAATGTAAATTTATATTAACCAAAAAAGACGTTTGTACAAAATTTTCCCTTTATTGATTCTACTGTTATTTCTTCTTCAATTTGCTTGGATTTTACTGTAATTAATGTATGTGACTTTCATTAAAAAAAATGGAAGGCTTTGCTTTCAAAGAAAATAATTGTATTGAAAGAAAATAATTTTACTTTTAGTAGTTTTTTTCTTTTCTTACAAACTGTTTATGGATTTAAAAGTTGTTTTATCAAGTTTATTATGATTTTTTTTTATATAATACTATATTATATTATTTTTAATTTTGGAAAAAAATAGAAAAGCATGGTTTTTTTAATTTGAGAAGGGGATTCAAAAATATTAACTACGAGAAACTCACTCATAAAAAAAAAACAAAAGCAGAGAAGAAGCAATGTAATAATTTGACCTCTCCAAGTTAAGTCTATATTTCAGTCTAAAATAAAATAAATGTTAAAATTATTCTATATTTGGAGTAATTCTTTTTGTTACTCTGTTTTACAAACGAACTTTTTAAGAGTAGAAAATAGAATAATACATTAGAAAAAAACTCAATTTTATTTTATAATTAAAAAAAAAGAATACAATGGATATAATCTAAATACAAATGAGCTTATTAGAATCTCAAATTTTCTATAACTAAAATTGAAGTCTTGACAACAACTATTTATTTTCCTATAAGTATTGTTATTAAGGTTCGAGTATTTGAAATATCCAATTAATTTAAATTTATGTTTACCAAGATTTTTTTTTCAAAATTATGTATTCTCTTTTTTATTAGTTCTTTTCATTTTGTAACCACTACGTTATACTAGTAGTGATACTCCCTCCGTTTTTTTAGATGATGTTTTAAGTTTATATTTTGGTTTTTAAATAGATGATGTTTTCAATTTTTAATGCAATATTAATTAGTTTTTTATTGGTTTTGATGATTTATATTATGCATATTGTATTTCTATTGGTTGGTTAGAGAAGAATTGATGTTTAAATTTAGAAATAAATAAAAATTAAATGATTTCTTAAACTATGTACAATTTCCTAAAACATCAAATAAAAAAATAGAACAAAGAGAGTATATAAATTTATTAATTTAAGATATAGTTAACTTCCTCATCTAAGCCGTTTATTTTGTCTTTGACCATTTATTTGCGACCATATTTTATTTTTTGGATATGAAAAATCATAATTTATTTTATCATGTATTTATAAGTTAAATTTCCATCAAAACCATTTATTTTGTCGTAGTCCTTTTTATCATTTATTTGCAACCTTACAAAAACTTTAAATATGAAAAACGTTTATTTTGGGTTAACTGGTAAGTATTAGGTAGAGATTGTGCAAATCGTTAAAGAACCAATATTGGACCCTAATATATTGTCTTTAAAACTAAGAACTTGACAGAAATATATAATTACGTCATTACTATTCGCGGTACGTTGCATTCATAGACGCAAGCATTTTTTTTTTTTTTTTTTTGATTAAATGTGTAATTGATTGATCGAAAAATAAATAGTTATGTACAATGGGAAATTAGAGCTGAATGCAAAACAGAGCAAATATGCCTATTACAACAGCAAACGGAGCAAAAAACAGAGACGAGGATGCTATGGAATTGGTGAAATTTCAAACCATGTTTGAAGGAGATTCCGGAGACGAGGGCGTCGAGTGTAGTCCAAGGAGATAATCTCGTTACGCAGTTGCTTGTCGATACTTCGGACCATGTGAGGCACTAAACAATAACCGCCACCATGTATGCGAGTGTTCCTTTCTCTCCACACATAATAAACTGTGACCTGAAAACAGAGCCGGACAAGAACGTCTTTATCTCTGGTTCCAACGCCACTCACTAAGCTGTCTATTGTGCTGTCCCAATCCGGGTCTAGCCGCTGCCCCAGTAACTTCCCAGCAACGGCGGACCAGACATTGAAGGAATATGGACACGCAAAGAAAAGATGGTCACGTGTTTCATCCCGTTCACCACATAGAACACACGGCTGTTCTCTGCCCCACAACCGCATTCTAGCTCCCGTAGAGAGCCTATCCCTGATAGCCAACCATGTAATAAAACTACAGCGAGGAATGCCTTGGTGAAACCACACCACTTTGTTCCAAACTATCGGTGCTTGAGAGACCCGGATTTGTTCCCAAGTGTGGCTAGTTGAGAAGACTGGTTTGAAATCATCAGCCTCGTGTCGCCAGAAGAACTGATCTGATCCTCGCGTTGGAGAGGGGACAGGTAAAGTCCGCAAATGTTCAATTATAAGTGCAAAGTGAGGTAGTCTTGTCCTTCTTAGCCTCCATCCATTGGGACCGAGAGCTTCTTTAACTGTAGCCTGCAAAGGGATTCCTAAGATCCTAGGGCCTGCAACACCAGTGAGATCAATGAGTCTCCCAATAGAAAGCCAATGATCATGCCAAATAGACGCAAGCATTCGTTGTGTGGTTCGATGCATTAAGACATAAATCTCTGAATCAAAATTTTCATTCTTGCAGGATGGGGACCAGATGAGAAGGCGATTATAAGAGTTTTAGGACAAAGAAATCAGAGCCAAAGAAGAAAGATCAGAGAAAGTAACAGAGAGATTTATGGCAAAGATCTTATCGATGTTCTCTCCTCTGAATTGTCCGGTGATTTCATGGAAATTAATTCTCAACATTTTCAATACCATTGCGTGTTGGCCACGTCAAGTGCATTCAACACTTGCAATTGTTCCCTTGCCATTCTTCTTCTCCTCTACAATTTTCATCACACAAAAGAACTCGACATATAAGTATCTTTGAATAACTCATTACAAACCATTAAGTAGTTGGTTATACCGAACTTGAAATAAGTTAGGCAAGTTTAAAAGTAATTAGAATTAGACTCTGCTTGATATATCAAGTGACATTAAAATATCATAAAAGTTATATTTAATTTTTCTCATTTCGTTGATCTCTCAATTACAACCCCATAAAGTATGTTGACCGAACTTGAAGTCAGTTACTAGCAATTTTAAAGCCAATCAATACAATAAAAACACTAAGAGTCTCTCCATGTCTGACACCTCGGCTTTTTAAGATATTCTCATGTTGACACATCATTAAAATTGTCACCCAATAAAAACATTTCGATTAATACAACTCATCATATCTCAGCCAATAACAATTTTTCTATGTTCCACATCATTTTTTTTGTTAAAACTTATTTATTATCTTGGGCTTAGGCCTGGGCATAATATCCGAACCCGAAGAACCGAACCGAACCCGACCTGAAAAATCTGACCCGAACCCGAATCCGAAGTTTTAAAATACCCGAACGGGTTCTAAACTTCACAACCCGAAAACCCAAACCCGAACCCGACCCGAACTCGAATCCGAACAAGTACCCGAACATATCCGAAATATAAATACATAGCTATAATATATTAGTAATATTTATACTTGTAATAGTCTAAGTGTCTAAATTATTCGGATGTTAAGATATTTTCGGGTGTTTTAGCTACTTTTGGTTAGATTAGGGTATAAAATAGTTAAAATTTATAGATTTTCTGAGTATTTTCAATACTTTTCATAGAATCAGATACAAATTTTTAAATATTTGGATACTTCGGGTAAACCCGAATCCGAACCCGAAATACCCGATCCGAACCCGATCCGAATCCGATCCGAAGCCGAAGTTTTAAAATACCCGAACGGGTCTTAGTTTTCTAAACCCGAAAAACCCGAACCCGAAAAACCCGACCCGAACCCGACCCGAATATCCGAACGCCCAGGCCTACTTGGGCTTATTGTTTGAGAAAAAGTGGGTTTATTGTTTGATAAGAAGTGGACTTATTATTATTCAGATGTCATTAAAATATTAGATAATTATATCATTATGTCTTTAACTCTTACATGGTAACTAGATATGAAATTGCAGATATGTACATGTTTATTATTCTTTACGAATTTTAGTATAAATTGTATAGAAGAATCATAAAAATGATGATGATGATCATCATCATACTCCGTTTTGACCTCTAGGGACTTGTGTGGTGGTGGCAGTACAATTAATGGGTAACAAATCATCAGTTAAGTCGTTACCAAAGGTATAATTAATGGTTAACAAACCATCCCCTCTATGCCGGGATAGTTTTGTTTTAAATTTTTTTTTGTGAATATTGAATTGTTAAAAATATGACTTTTATTGTTTTGAATTGGATTAATCATAAAAGTATGGGTTACACCATCATAACTTTATAAGATATAGGAATGCAGTAAAAGAATCAAAATAGAGAAAAATCTATGATATGTTGTATTATTGTTATTAGAAGTGTTCACATTTAAATCAAGTAGAGTTAATTATATCTGCGGAGCTAAACAAGATTTTATGATCGTCTATTTAATCTACATAGGACAATTGCAGTGTTGCATAATTGATATAATTTGAGTTGAGTTAAAAAGTAACTTTGAACGATGCTTGAAACATATTCACTTTCGTAATAATGAAAGTAATGTAAATAAAGTAACATCCAATAGCTAGGAAATATATGTTTTACGTATTTAAATGGCTTTGTTAGAGTTTTCTATATTAGTTTAATTACAAACTTTGCGATCCTTATATTTCTTCATCGGTATAAGTTTGCATCATAAGAAAACTATTTTATTGAAAATATACGCTATTAACTTTATGATAAGTGAGTTTATGAACCATATTCTTAAATGATAAGTCATGTTAATAAATTCAATATGTTTTATTTAATTGTAATTACAAACTATATGATTAAATTATGATTACAAATAATATATTAAATAAAAAATATTTCAAAAAGTATCCCGCAGCGTAGCGCGGGTTTCGAGCTAGTATTAATAAAATTAACATATGTATGTTTTTTAGACGAGGTAGTTGTTAACGAAAAGTTAATCATTTTCCTGTATATATGTATGATGCTTACATATGGTAAAAGAAACCAAGCATTTTAAAATATAAGAAATTGAAATGAAGTGATAATAAAAGTCAACTCCAATTTTCAGTCCACTCCTTAATTTTTTTAATATTTATTATATACGTTCTTCTTAATAATTTGTAAAGATCTGTTAAAACTTATTAACATATGACAAAAGATATGTGTAACTCAAAGACTAATTGTTGATTCCTAATTTTTTGGGTTCTCTCGACGTTACCAAATTCTTCCTCCGTTCTTTTATAAGTGATGTTTTAGGAGAATGCACATAGATTAAGAAATCATTTAATTTTGTTTATTTGTAAACTAAAACATCATTTATTATCTAATCAACCAATAAAAAAATAATGTACGAAATATAAATCGTCAAAACTTATACAAAATAATTAATTTTGCATCAAAAATTAAAAACATTATCTATTTAAGAACAAAATTAGAAATTTTAAACATCACTTATAAAATAAGAGAGGGGGTAGTTTAAAGGTAAATGAAATTGGAAGTAATTGTTGTAGTTTCCAACGATTACTATTTTTCTTTAGTTACCCACAAAAGTTGACTTGTGACGTCTAATGAATCTGAACTCGAGCTACAAAGACTTTAACGGAGAGTAAGATAACTGAGATTGGAACCATTTTCATAGAGATGAAGGCACCTAAGAAATTTATTACATTCTTTGAAGGTAGCTTTACATAGAAACAAACTATTATCCACGAAAAGAAGATGTTGAATTGATCGGGCAGTTTGGCGTAAGGCCGGTGCATTCCGGGTAGGCGGCCATCTTGCTCCGTTTTATTCATTATATGCACTAATGTTTTAGCGCAAAAATAAAGAGAAGAGACGAGAGCGGGGCGCCTTGTCGAATACCCCTCTGGTTTAATATATCCATAGGATGATCCGTCAATGAGTACAGAATATGAGACCGATCGTACACAGCTCATTATCCATTGGACCAATCATATATAAAAGCCCAAGCGTACAAGCAGTTCTTTCAAAAAATTCCATTCCACTCTATCTTCCGCCTTTGACATGTCGGTTTTAATGGCTATGAATTCTTCATCGCATCCTGTAAAGCATGAACAATTTCTTGAGCGAGAAGAGCGTTATCCAATATGAGTCTTTTCGAAACAAAGGCTCTATGAGCGTCCGACACTATCATGGATAAAAAATCTTTTCAACCTAGTGCATAGCACCTTGGAGACAATATATATATATTACTTTTTGACTTTAAAAGATTATAAAAAACTAATCAACAAGATTATATAAAACTCTCTAGCAATAGTTTCTGATGATGAAGCACTTCAATTTCATTACGATTGTTTTATGGCGTTTCAGCTACTTGCCTTTAAGAAAATACCTAAGGTATTGTCCTGGTAATCATGGTTAATTAATAGATAGGTAGTTTTGTGTACTAGGTATTTTTGTTATGTTACTGTTGGATTTTGAAGTCATCGATCAACTCACTTCCTTATTCTCTAATATTTTTTTGGGGAAGGCTTCTCTAAATTCTCACATTTGTTTTTATCTGGTTTGCTTCAGTTGCGAGATCTGTCTTTGGCTAACATTGGTTCGGTTCACAAGAGTTCTGATCTCCGGAGGAGATTGTCGGTGCTTTCTCTTGAAGATTTAAGGGATGTTGTCTGCTCAAAGGTATACATCTGGAAAGCTTATTCTTGTAGGTTCACATGTGAAAATATTAACTTTGCACATCTAAATACAAACTCTGCATTGGAATTCAGGATATCATTATAGAATCTTGCTAAGGCAATTCTATGATGATCATATCTTTTCTGCCCCTTTCATTTTGCTAAGGGTCTTATAGTTGTGAGCTTTCAGTGAATATCATCCGCAAAATGGTTAGCAAAATCACAATACAAAGTCTAAGTTGACATGCTAAAAGATCTATGGGTTGACACAAATGTAGACGTTATATATCTACTTGTGTGAATTCCCATTACAGTATTACATAGAGTAGCGTGAGAAATCAGTGAAGAGATGTATTTGTGCCAGTGGAGATTAGAAAGGAAATATCACTACAAGAAAAATGGCTTTTCGTAGCATCCGAATAACGCTATCTAACTATTCCATAGCGTTTTGACAAGCGCTATATCTGCGCCCGTCATAATAGGTCAGACACTTTAGATAGCGGTTTTTGTATTTGCTATCTAAATTCAAATATTAATAGCAGATTTATATATGCTATTGTATACTTTACAATAACACTTCAATTTTGTTATCAAAACTATTATTCATAATATATGGATTTGAATTTTGAATTTAAATTTTATTAATAAGAGCTTTAATATCATTTTTACAAAGACCCAAAATAGTCAATAATTGTAATAATAATAATTCTTAATAAGAAACCAAAAAGATCTGTATTTAATTAAGAACAACAATACATATCATAATTGTTTTCTATTTGGAAACGTCTAAAGATACATATATTCACCAAGGTGTATTCACAATCTTGATTTCTCTAGTTGACATCACCATTTAACAAAAAGCCCCTGTAAAACCAATTCATTACACATGGTCAAGGCACTAAACCAACAAAACAACTGCGAACAAACATTAGAAGTTAAGAAAGTATATACCTTTATCAATTTTTTTGCCATCAACAGCTTATCGACAACAAAAATATCCTTGAACAAGATGATATTGCTAGCCATCTGCAAACGTGGAAGTCCAAACGGTAATTAATATCTTAATTCCTTGATAAAATCTCAACACGACCATAAAAAAAAAACAAGAACAATATGACCATAAAATTAAATGAAGAAGCCGAAAACTCTGAAACCGACCCATAAGAAACCAATCGCAGAGAAATGTAAAGGGTTATATGGTGATGATGATAGCCTATATCAAAAGCGAGTAAAAGGGATAAATAACGCTTCTCAATCACTGTAAACAAAGCTTCTCAATCACTGATAATGTTAGGGATTTTAGATCTGGAATTAGAGAAATAGCAAACCTGAAATTCACGGTTGGTGAGAGGTAAGGAATAGGAGCCATCTGAGTAATCAATTGAACATTTGGGAAAAAGCATTTTCTGTGTCGTGTTGCTCCATGTATTCGGAGAGAGCGAAGCTGGTTGGTTAATGGGAGCTCTGGCTTTGACAAGGATGATGACAGATCTAGGTTGTTAGATCCAGAAAACAAAATTGCGAGCAAAGTATTGAACATCGATTGGAGCAGTCCTTGTTGAGAGGCAAGATCTAGGGTTTGGTTGTAGACTCAGATTGGAAATCCTTGCTCGGCGGCGAGGTTTTGTGATAAGCGATGGATGCGAGAGGTTAGGGTTTTAGGAGGAAGGATACTAAGATACAGTGAAAGAAGAGAGAAGGAGAGGAGAACAAAAGTCGAAAGAGAGAGCAAATAGGAACGAAAGAACTAGAGAGCAAACAAAAGGGAAAACGAAGAAATATCTAAAATCAAACAAAGGGGAAGAATGTCAAAGGTTATAGAGCAAAAGGGAAAAAAATTAGGTCAAATAAACTTTTAATTGGAGCCCATATTTTAGTCTTTTTCGTTGGAGCCCAAGTTTCTAAGGGCGGCATTGAATAATTTTATTTTCCGCTAACTCTTCTTTAGCGTTTCAATATGATATGTGCTATTACAGACCATGTTTACAAAATTAAAAAACTCAAAAAATTATACGAGAAGATATCATAGCGTTTGTAAATTTAAAACGCTATCGAAAAGTTAGAGGTAAGTCAACGATAGCATAACTATATAAAACGTTATCTTTCAATGCTATTAAAAATCAATATTCTTATGTAACTGTATTTGCTTCTTGCTGTGCTAATTTTAGTTTTTTTTTTTAAATATACTTTTGTTTGCCTTAGAAATTCACATATGACAATTATGTTCTCATTTTCATTTGCTTTTGTGCAGCTCAAACTGGTTTCAAGACATGATTATTGGGCAGATAGTAAGGATTTTCTGACTGAGGTCGTCGTCTCCACTACAGGAAACTTAGGTATTGATAGCAGTGAATTATAGCGTTTAGTGATGTTTTGCTATGTTTAAGTTTTTAATAGCGTTTCAAAATTTATAAACGCTATGGATCATAAACCTAAATCAATTAAATAGTGACGCTTAGAATATATAGCAGAATTTTTTAAAAACGCTGTATAATGTGAGAGCGGCAAAAACTTATTAGTTGGATTTTTGGCTCTCAATACATAGAAATTTTTGGCTCTTAACACTTCGAAATTTTTGGCTCTTAACACTTAGAAATATTTTTCATTCCCTCTCTCGTTTTCCCTCTCAATACTCTTTCATCTTCCTCCACTCTCCTTTTCACTATCTGTTCTCAATCTCCCTCTGGTTTCTCATCGACATTGATTTGTAAAGCTATTCTTCTATTCTCGCTGCTGTGTTCGTGCATGTTTACATCTGTCTCCTAAACGACTGAAGAAAAAGTTTTCGATTGAAGGTTTGTTTTTTGGTTCTACAAGAGATTTTCGATAAAAGAGAGAATTTCTTTAGGGTTTTGATTTTGGGCTAATTTCTTAGGGTTTTCGCATCAATTGGGGTTTCGATTTGGGGTTAATTTCTTAGGGCTTTTGTTTGTTTCAATTAGGGTTTCGATTTGGGGTTAAATTCTTAGGGGTTTTGTTTGTTTTAGTGTTTCGATTTATGTTTCGATTTAGGTTTATGATTTCTTTTTGTGTTGTCTGATTTGCTTATGTACCTTTGTCTGGGAGCTGTTGCGGTTTTGTAACATGGACAAGGCTTGGGTTTGGCTTCCGAGGTATGATTTCTTTCTATGTCTTATTTGTATATGTATTTTACTTTTGGTCAGAATCTAATGCTAATCTAACTTTGTTACAGGGCAAGCGTTGAGTATGAGGAAGGTGCACGTGCTTTTGTGTATGCATCAGCAAAGAGGTTGGGTAATCCTCTGCAGTTGTTTTGTCCTTGTATCGATTGCCGGAATGTGTGCCATGAAGATATAAACACAATAGTGGATCATTTGGTAATTAGAGGAATGGATCAGAAGTACAAGAGGAATTCTTGTTGGAGTATTCATGGAGAGACACGGAATGAGAAGACAGTTGATGATCAACATGCTGAGTTAGAAGCCTATGAGTTGTTTAGGTCTGCCTTCTTTGACAATGAAGACCAGTCAAAGAATAAGAATGGAGAAGAGCCTGAAGTGGTTGAATGTGAAGAAGAATCTGAGTTTAAGAAGAAATTAGAGGATGCAGAAACGCCTCTGTACTCGAGCTGCCCAAACTACACCAAAGTTGCAGCAATCATGGGTCTTTACCGCATTAAAGTTAAGAGTGGGATTTCAGAGAATTATTTTGATCAGCTTTTGAATATGGTTCATGACATGCTTCCTGATGGTAATGTGCTTCCAACAACCACATCTGAGGTCAAGAAATTCTTGAAGATCTTTGGTTTTGGTTATGATGTTATACATGCTTGTAAGAATGATTGTATTCTTTACCGAAAGCAGTACGAGGAGCTGAGTAGCTGTCCAAGATGTGGTGCTTCAAGATGGGAAATTGATAAGCATTCTGGTGAGACAAAGAATGGGATTCCATCAAAGGTACTCAGGTATTTCCCTATCAAAGAAAGATTCAAGAGGATGTTTAGATCGAAGATAATGGCTAAGAATTTGCAATGACATTTCAGTAATGCTTCTGAAGATGGAACAATGCGACACCCTGTGGACTCATTGACTTGGGCACAAGTCAATGTTAAATGGCTAGAATTTGCTGCAGACCCCAGAAACCTTCGACTTGGTATATCTACAGATGGGATGAATCCGTTTGCTATCCAGAACACCAAGTATAGCACATGGCCAATGTTCTTAGTCAACTATAATATGCCTCCAACTATGTGTATGAAGTCAGAAAACATAATGGTAACCCTTCTGATTCCTGGACCAACTGCACCGAGTAACAACATCGATGTTTATCTTGCTCCTTTGATTGATGATCTGAATGAATTGTGGAATGAAGGTATCCAGGTATATGACTCATTATCCCAGCAGAATTTCACACTTAGAGCTATACTATTGTGGAGTATCAGCGATTATCCAGGTTTGGGAACTTTGGCTGGTTGTAAGGTAAAAGGTAAACAAGCATGTAATGTATGTGGAAAGGATACTCCTTTTAGATGGCTGAAGTTTAGTCGAAAGCACGTCTATTTGGGCAATAGGAAACGACTTAGGCCTGGGCATCCTTACCGACGCCGAAGAATTTGGTTTGACAATACAATAGAAGAAGGGACTGCTAATAGAGTTCAAACAGGAGCTGAGATTTTTGAGCTGCTTAGGGACTTCAAGAATGAATTCGGGAAACTTTTGGAGAAGAAGAAGAAAAGGAAAAGATTAGATATTGGTGAAGAGGAGGAGCTTACCCATGAAGAATATGAAGAAGATGCTGACCAATGGAGGTGGAAGAAACGGTCTATACTATTTGAATTAGCTTACTGGAAGGTTAGTTCTCTGTCAACATTAATGTGTCAAGTAACTTTAAAATTCTTATAATTTTCTAACCATTATTTCTTGTTTTGTTTGACGTGTTAGGATATGCCGGTCCGTCACAACATCGACGTTATGCATGTAGAAAAGAATGTGTCTGACGCCATTCTTTCTCTTTTGATGCACAATGCTAAATCAAAAGATGGTTTGAAAGCAAGACAAGATTTGGAAGATATAGGGATTCGAAAAAACTTACACGCTGAGCAACGTGGGAAGAAAACATATTTGCCTCCTGCTGCTTATTGGTTGAGCAAGGAAGAGAAGAAGATATTTTGTAAGAGTCTATCCGAATTCAGAGGACCAGATGGCTACTGTGCAAATATCGCCAATTGTGTCTCACTTGATCCTCCTCTAATTGGTGGTTTGAAGTCTCATGATCATCATGTTCTTCTGCAAAACTTGTTACCTGTTGCATTGCGAGGATTGCTGCCCAAAGGACCGAGGACTGTAGTTACTAGATTATGCAACTTCTTTAGTAGACTATGTCAGCGTGTAATTGATCCGGAGAAGCTTATAACTTTGGAGTCTGAGCTTGTTGAGACGATGTGCCAAATGGAAAGGTTTTTTCCTCCTTCTCTTTTTGATATAATGTTCCATCTCCCTATACACCTAGCAAGAGAGACACGTTTGGGTGGACCGGTACACTTTAGATGGATGTATCCATTTGAAAGGTAAAGAGCTTTCTTTTTTATCTCTTTTGATATTACATTTTTTTGTTATAAAATATCTGACATAGTTGTTATTTGATTGATACTTAGGTACATGAAAACACTAAAGTCGTATGTCAAGAACTATGCAAGGCCAGAAGCATGTATGGCAGATGGATATTTGGCAGCTGAATGTATTGGTTTTTGCTTGGAGTTTCTCCAGTCATCTGTACCAGTTCTAGAGTCTGCAAATCGTAATGAAGATGTTGATTTAGATGAGAATATACTTGAAGGGCGTCCAATTCTTAAGGCTAAAGATGTTACATTATCTGATAAAGAGTGTGACATTGCTCACAGATATGTGTTAATGAATACGGCAGTGATAAATCCATATGTTGAGTAAGTTATCTTTGTAAACTAATAATTGTTACTTACTTTGACTTGCTGATGAAATACTCTTTATTATTGTAAGTTATCTTCAAATCATTGTTCTTGAACTATCATTGCTTTTTAACTGTTCTTTTTCTTTTTCTATCAGAAACCACATGATGGTGTCTCTAATTCTGAGGTTAGTGATCTTTCCAAAGGAGGACCTAGGTGTCAGATTTTGGACTGGTGTTCACCTGATGATGTTATCATTGGAGAAGGAGAATTCTGCTCAGCTGAACAAAATTACAAGATTGGACGCATTCCACTTGGTCGTAATGCATGTGCTATTTTGGTTAAGTCAGTTATAGATGCAGAAGCATCTGTTTGGAGGCCTACGACAACTGTTACCACACTTGGCCAAGCTGTTGGAACAAAAATTGCATGGCAACTTGATAAGCTCATTTTGGACAATGATCTGAACTCTCCACCAAATAAGACTGTTGCTTCATCGGTAAGATTTAATATTCTAGTACTGTTGGTTATGTTTTTTTAGCATAACATGTAGTTGAACATGTTAATAACTAATGTACTGTTGGTTTTGTTTTTCGTACATTGCTCCATAGGCTGCAGATGCAGAAGATTATGACCCATGGCCAATCCATAATAGCCAAAATGCTAATATAGAAGCAAGCAAGGATAGAACGAGTTCAAAAAGGCAGTCTCCTGGGGTAAGACTCTAAATCTTCTCAGTTTTAAAAATGATATGCTGGATTGTTGTTGAAATATTGGACTTGTGATAATATTTCTGGAATTTTATTAGTTACTGAATGATTTGTTGTTGGAATGGACTTGTGATTAAGTGTCTGAAATTTTTCTGTTGTAGAGTGTTAGTAACAGCTCTAACAACAGCAAGAATGAGAAAAAGAAGTGCATCCTCTTGGATTGCAATGGATCAGGAAAAAAGGTTGCAGAAGGTCGAGTTTTATCATCAAATCCAGAAGATAGAGTTCATCATGTCCCCTTGGGTCTTAATGCAAGCAAGGTATGGGTTGATGTCCCTACCATTGATGAAGCACCAGTTTGGAGAGCAAATTCAGAAATTAAAATCATTGCTGATGCTTTGGGTAGTATAATAGCTTGGCCAAATGACAAACTCGTTTACATTTGAACTTGTGTTTGTGTTCAGTATGACTATACTTTGTTATTGGATTGAAAAATGTATTTTGGTTATTATGAAACATCTTCAGGTTTATGAATTCATTACAGAGGTCCACATTAAGAACAATAGATAACATCTCAATTTATAGCAAACCAAAAAAATGCTACAATATAAGTATCAATTATGACGTAAAATGAAATAAATTATAACATAATTACAATGCTATTGTAAACTATACAATTGCATATATTAAAATGCTATATTAAAAAGAACTACAGTAGCATAACTGAAAACCGCTATGATAGGTCCTTTACCTTTTGTCGCGGTCGATGATATAGCGTTTCTAAATACGCTACTCTAGCGATAAATAGCGTTTTCTGGACGTTATCAATTCCTGATTTTCCTGTAGTGCTCCTCTTTTGAGAAGCAACAGTCTCAGAAAGAAGCAATAAACGCTCTGCCTTTGTACCCAAATGAGCAAATCATGTGGGATGAAAGTGTGATTCCAGCATTAACTATTCTGGGGAAGGTTGCCTTGCTCTTTCAAAGCTTAATCTTCAGTTTCTAACACTCCATGATTATCTCCTTAGAAACTTCAACCTCTTCCGTCTAGAATCCACCTATCAGATTCGTGAAGATATACAAGAAGCTGTACCACAACTTCTTGCACAAATGGCGGTTCCTATTAATGATTTCAAAATCGCTCAGGTGAAACAGCCTAATATTGGAGAAGAAAAGCCTTCGGCTGTGACTGCAGAAGTTACTTTCAGTATTAAGAGTTACAGAACGCAGATAAGATCTGAATGGAATTCCCTTAAAGAGCATGACATTGTTTTTGCTTTGTATACGCCCTTCATTTGAGCTATTAAGTCCTGAGGAAGCTGATAAAGTTACAGTTCCACAGAGGCTCGGGCTTCAGTATGTTCGTGTTTGTGAAATCATCGATATCCGCGATGAGGAGGGTAATTTGATGAATGGAAGCCCCCAAAAGGTGAAATGAGGACTGCGACTGTCGCTTTAGATACTGCACAGTGTCATTTAGATGTTACAGAAATTGCTGAAAAGGTGCTGAGGATGTGTATAGCACATTTAATGTGCTAATGAGGAAGCCAAAGGAGAACAACTTCAAGGCTATTCTGGAATCTATCAGAGATCTCATGAATGAATATTGTATTGTGCCGGAGTGGTTGCATAATGTTTTTCTTGGGTATGGCAACCCTTCTGCTGCACAGTGGCCTAATATGCCAAACCTGTTGGAAACAGTGGACTTCAAAGATACTTTCCTTAATGCAAATCATCTCAGTGAAAGTTTTCCAGATTATGAGGTTAGTAATTATATTCTTTTGTATATGATGTGATCTGGAACACTAGAACTGGTTCATTTTCCATGTCTCTAATAATTTGTGCATATTAGGTATCTTTCATCAATGCTGAAGGTGCTGAAGCTCTGGATCCAAGTCCTCCGTTCCGAATCACTCTTCCAAAGACACTAAAAGGAAATGCTGCTATTTCTGGAAACAAGATATCTGAAGTCAATTCAGCAGACAATGTTAATATGGTGGATGCTTCCCCGAAGGAGAAACTTATTGTTGAGGCATATACCTCAACCGGACCCAGGGCGTTATCCTCAGGACCAGCCGAAGCAGAACTCAGTTAAATTTACACCTACGCAGGTTCTACTTATTTCTACATCTTAAGTGCAGTATGCTAATTTGCTTTTTATATAATTGTGCTGTGCTATACTCGTCAACTTTTTGTTATTCTTTTTTTTCTTTTCTTGAATGATGACAAATTTATTATCTTAGAATCTTTACTACCTTTACAGAAGAGTCATGTCATACAAGAATACTATTCATCATCTTTATGTCGCCTTATTGTGTTGGGTACCTGACACTTATAACCCATGTAAAATTTGCACATGTTATCTCCATTGTAAAGTAAATCATTTGGTCATTGATCGGGTGTCAATATTGTTCCCACACAATTATATTTTATTTGGAGAAAGTTTTACCTAATGTTCAAAAGCACTTTTCTCCCTCATGATGGTTTGGATGAGAATGAGAAAATATACCAAAACATTTGGTTTGGATTCAAATTTTGGATATTTGTTGCAGGTTGTCACTAAACCATGTCCATGCCTACTATTTTCCTGCAGGTTGGAGCAATTATCTCTGGTATTCAGCCTGGGCTAACTATGGTGGTTGGTCCACCAGGTACCGGAAAGACTGATACAACAGGCAAATTTTGAATGTTTTATACCACAACTGTCCTTCTCGGAGGACCTTAACAATCACTCATTCAAATCAGGCTTTGAATGATCTTTTTGAGAAGATAATGGGGGTACTATTGGCATCTTCTTTGCTTTTGTTATTATGTGGAGTCATGTTTAATGTTCTACATGTTTGACGGAGTTCTGAGAGTCAAATGCTACATGGATTTCTTTTTTTCAGAGGGATGTACAAGCGCGGTATCTACTGCGTTTAGGTCAAGGTGAACAAGAGCTTGCTACTGATCTTGACTTTAGCAGACAAGGCCGTGTCATTGCCATGCTTGTTCGGCGTCTGGAACTGCTCAATGAGGTTGAGAGACTAGCAAGATCTCTTCAGCTTCCAGAGGATGTAGGATATACTTGTGAAACAGCTGGGTATTTCTGGTTGCTTCATATATGCTCGCGCTGGGAGCTATTTCTCGCTGCTTGTGCAGGACATGAAGACAAACAATCTTTTGTTCGAGATGGCTTCCCGTTCAAAGATTTCTTCTCAGACACCCCTAAACCTGTATTTAGTGGGGAGTCATTTGAGAAAGACATGAGGGCAGCTAAAGGTTGTTTCTCTCATATCAAGACTGTGTTCCAAGAGCTAGAAGAGTGTAGGGCCTTTGAACTACTCAAGTCAACTGCTGATAGAGCAAATTATCTGATGACCAAACAAGCAAAGATTGTAGCAATGATGTGTACTCATGCGGCATTAAAGAGGAGAGATTTTCTTCAGTTAGGGTTCAAATATGATAACTCATTGATGGAAGATAGTGCTCAAATTTTGGAAATTGAGACTTTCATACCAATGTTGCTTCAGAGGCAAGAAGATGGTGGTCATGCACGACTCAAGCGCTGTATATTGATTGGTGATCACCACCAGCTGCCTCCCGTGGTGAAGAATATGGCTTTCCAGAGAAAGATAGTCACATGGATCAGTGTTTGTTTACGAGGTTTGTTCGTCTTGGTATTCCTTATATTGAGCTCAATGCTCAAGGTAGAGCCAGGCCAAGCTTAGCCAAACTCTACAACTGGAGATACAGGGATTTAGGAGACCTTTCCATTGTTAAGAAAGCACCCATCTTCCAGAGAGCAAATACTGGATTCTCATATGAATATCAGTTGGTGAATGTGCCTGACTATGAGGGGAAAGGAGAATTGACACCATCTCCATGGGTTTATCAAAATCAGGGAGAAGCTGAATGTATCGTCAGTGTCTATATATACATGAGATTGTTAGGATATCCTGTGAATAAGATATCAATATTGACAACATTTAATGGTCAGAAGCTCTTAATCTGTGATGTTATCAACCGTCGATGTGTTCCCTATCCATTCATTGGCCCTCCGAGCAAGGTAAAATATCCGACTCAAGTATTTTTATTAGTTGTTGATATGATATGGACTGTATTGGGATCTACCTGTAGGAAGAAGAGATAGTACATTATGTGCATATAATAAAAGACATTTCGTTTTGGTTTCGATCTAGGCATTTTGGTTGCAATTTTGGTTTTTTGGTATGCAATGCCCCCACCCTAAGAAAGTTATCTCAGAGTTAGTTATGTGTTTTGACTGTTCTAATTTTGTTTCCTCAGGTGACTACAGTGGACAACAGAATGATTTTATATTGCTCTCTCTTGTACGGACACGCTTTGTAGGTCATCTACGTGATGTAAGAAGGTTGGTAGTTGCAATGTCACGTGCTCGGCTCGGTTTGTATGTGTTCTGCCGCTGTTCTCTATTTGAACAGTGCTATGAGCTGCAACCAACATTTCAACTACTTCTTCAAAGACCCGAGCGGCTCAGACTCAATTAGTGCTGTCGAGAAAGTTGGAAATCCTTATCTCGTTCATGATGTTGAAGAGCTGGCACACATAGTTCACGATAGGATGAACCAGTTCTACCAGGTAACGACACAATCTACTTGCTTGGATAACTAAAGTTTTGTTTTTTAATTTGGAAACTGATTTGTTTCATGCATTGGTTAGGCACAAGGAGTGTAGGAGCGATACAAGAACAACATGCCACAGACGGAAGATGGTAATCACGACATGGAGAGTGATTCAGTAGTAGGAGCTGTAGACGGTGATGAATCTGAGAGAAATATGCAGCAGCTAAACCAAGCTCTAGACATAGACGGTGAATTATCGAAGGAGGTGGACAATAATGGATTTAGCAGTGAGAATGGAAAGGCTGATGAGAAAAATTAGGACAAATCAAACTGGGAATAGCAAATTTATTCACTCGGAGGGTGAGAAAAAGTGAGTTAATGTTTGAAACATGAGAGAGTTTGTTGCTACTGTAAGAAATTTTTACTGAGTTTGAGTAAATTCTATATAATTCAATTCAGGAGGAAAAAGGTAGCATATACTGAGTTTTCAAGCTGTCTTATCCTTCTTCTTTGGTACGTGATTTTGAGTAAAGTAGTAATGTGTCTTATTAATCATCCAAAACAAGGTTGAGCTCAGCTAACGACGAGTCAGAGAGGATAGTCGTGACACAAAAGGTAATATCAGTCTTTTACATACGCTAAGTCTTTTCGCTCCAAAGACCAGACTAAAGCAAAGCAGAGGTGATGATGATCTGTGTGAGCCGTTTTTGACTCATTTGTTTTTTTTTTGTTATGTAGATTTTGAAAACATAATTAAAAACAGGGATTTGATTTGATTTAAAAATGCAAGAATCAAGAGAAATTTGATTATTTTTCAAACAATTCTAACTGGAGTTGGGATACAATGCATCTCTATACTATTAAAAGAGAAGTACAAATGAAAATGGGTCAGATCAAAATCAGAAAATTGACCCGAAATTCTGAAATTGGATCTTTGAAATTTTTTTGGAATATAAATTCGAATTAATAATGAAAAATCGAACTAAAATCAAATATTTATGGAAATCAAATAAAATCTGATTGTACTTATGGTAACTAATTATAAAAGCATATTCCGAACAATACTATACATTAATTACGTATAATATATACTTTCGATGATCTACTCTTGCTCAAATGTTTAGTACCTTTGCAAAGTGTTTCTCAGAAGTATCAATACAAAAGATTGCCATCTGCAATAGACTTCACAGATGAGCATCTCCCGGACATCCATCAACATCTTGTCCATCCAACACAACATGTCATAAATATCTCAAGAGGAGAAAATTAAATCCTAGAAACTAAACATGAATCTGAACCTCATCAATTGTTTCTTCTCTATGGCTTCACGTAGCATAGCCGCCTCAATAGTAGCTACCTCTGCATCAGTCTTCACGTAGCATAGCCACCTCAAAAGGCAGAGAAGAAGCAATGTGTTCTTCAAGAGATGAGTGAAAGAGAGAACAATAAGCTTTCCTCACAACAATCAAATGGTTTGGAGAAGTTTTGCAAGAGATCTCCACTATAACCTTCAAATTCTCTATGCTTTTCTTCTTCTTCTCCTTATTCAAAATCTTGTTCACAAGCCTTGCGTCTCTGCTGGATCATAAGCTCATGAAACCACAACTTTTTGAAAAATAATCAAACACATGTTTTAGAAAGAAAAAACATTAATCTTTAGCTATTAAAAATGTTGAGAATTAATTACCATGATGATGAGTAATTAAGAGATTGTGAGATTTAACAATTTCCATTTTTCGTGAAATATGAATAAACCAATTGCTGATTATTATTTCCTTAGTACACATGGAAATTAATTACCATGAAGTGTGTTCGGAGTCTTCTGGATCGGAACAGAAGCAACAAAGTCAGAGATACTGTACCACGCATCTTCTCTTAACTCCCTCATATTAACATTGAAAGGACCACGACCGATTGTACCCTCAATTTTTGTCTCTTAGGTACATGCAAAACAACAAAAGACAAATATTTCTTAAAATGACTAAACAACAAATTACAAACAAAAGACAAATATTCCTTAAGGATTTATACTAAAATAAGCAAAACTATCAAATAATCTAGTAGATCCACTAAAACATCAATTAACTAAAAAAAGAAAAAAAAGACAAAGACACACGGACCTGCTCGTCGACAAGAAGCATTTCTGTTTTACACCTAAATTTGTGGCTGCGAACCCTCCAAAGACTCAGAATTTTCACCCGAACATACTTAATCGTCCTACCTCGAGCAAGATTCGAAAGATAGATTTGCTCGGACATCTTTGAATGAAACCACCGCCCAAACCCACTGTTTTCTTTTAGAAATCAGAGAAAGATGGAAAACCTCGAACTAAATGAAACAACTATATACAGTGCACATACACGGTGGAAATTGGGCTAAGCAGTCATATCTACAAATTTTAAAACTTTTAAAAAAAAAACTTTTTTCTAATAACTATATAACACACAAAAATAGCAACAAAAAAACATTAATAACTATGCGAATCTCTAGGTTATACACAAAACGAAACTCACAACATATTAAGATAGATAACACTAATAAGAATAATTCGAACCATCGCTAACATTATATAATGAGTAAGACCAATATAAATTTCAAAACCAAAATAATCACCATTAACTAAAAATAAAATATCAAGAAAACAAAATAAATAGCAACAAACTCAAATAAAATAATTACGCATCATCCGAGTCTTCAAAGATAGGCTCCGATCCAACATCTGGTACGGTTTGATCAATACCAAACACCAAAGGGTATGATCCGTATTTATCAACAGATACATCCCTACCTTTAGCAATATATCTAAAAAACAAATAGATACTGTTGTAATGCCTAACTTTGCTTCCAATTACAGTCCCCTACAATAATAAAAAACCCAAAAAAATAAGTAGACAATAATAAACAAACAAATAATTTAGAAAACACGAAAACATCTAGAATAATAAGGCATAGAATCTAACAAATATGTAAACTACACACAACATACCTCTTTCAAAATATTTGGTCGTAATGAAATACTTCGGACCACTCAAAACATTTACAAACAAACAGAACAATTAAAATCATACCTTATAGCATGGTAAGATATTTTGATGTTCATATATACAAGACACGACATATAAGATAATAAGGAAAATAAACATACATGCTTATAAAAGCCCACGCGATCCGTAAAACACGACGGAGCAACAAATCTTCTACGCCAATTCTGTGTAGTCTAAAACGTCGGAGAAACAAATATAAAGTAATCATAAAACGATTATACGTTACATATAAATACACAAAAGTCGACAAAATACCTTATTAAAATAAAACATATCATTTGTGTATCTTCGGGAGGTGGAAGCACCAGCAGATACCTAAGCCAATGTTAAGCATTTGGGAGAAGCCATAACATCAGATTATCACGAAAATATATATACAACAAAAACCAATATATAAATAATTGCTTTGTATTGATCTTTAGTGTTAACGTCGAAATAAGACAATTAGATTCAAATAGCCAAATCATCATTTAAAGATTTAAAAAATAATATCCAACTAAAACTGATCCACAATAGCCAATACATTAGATACAAAGAATAGAAATACCTGTTTCCAATAAACCGACTCAAACCGAGATATGAGTTCATCGAGTACTTTCAAAGACACGGTAAGATGAAAATCAAACAATAACATGTCAATCCTTATACATAAACTCAAATCTATTGGACAATTTAATTACAAAATCAATACTAAACAATAAAACGCAATAAAATCGCATATAAAATATATAAGATAAGAGGAAGAAACACAAACATTTAAATAGGTAAATATATATAAAATATACAAACCAAATCTATAGAAATACCTTTCCAAACCACGTTATGTGCTCGTCAACACCACCTTTGTCGGAGAGCTTTGTCGATGGAACCTCCCACGTTATACAAAACTGAAACACATACCAAAAAAAAAAAATCAGCAAAACAAATCAACGAACTAATGCAAAAAATAAAACAAATAACACAAACAATATGCACACGACCTCTAAAGGTAAATGAAAACAATATTTGCATGACAAACAATTTGATTCATCAGAATCGTAGCTGTATAACAAAACCATAACGGTGAAAACTATCTAATGGGCACAGAAAAAATAATACATAATTCTCTGGCCGATCAACAATATATATAGCTTTAAAATTAGGGCAAACATCAATCATTATCTTAAGAAATTTAGCTTTTTAATTAGAAACTAAATCAGAAAACTAACAAAAACGAATATTAACTACTAAGATATAGAATTATCCAAATAATTAACAAATAAATTAAAGCTAAGATTCCATAATCCTTAAAGTCGAGACATTATGAAATTCGTATCCCCAATGATTACACTATACAAAAAAATAATTAAGGGTGATTAATTAAGACAAATCATATCAACACACGATTAGACTTATATACCCATAACAATTAAGAACAAAAAATTTCGAAATCGAGGGTGTTTAGGACATTATTATAGAGATCAACACACGATTAGACTTATATACCCCTAACAATGAAGAAGAAGAAATTTCGAGAAGAGCAATTACTTAAGGGTGTTTACGACAAATCATTCCAACGTTTATATACAAGCCTCCTAGGCCCTAACTTTGAATATGGTGCAAAATTACTTGTCAAATAATAGTTTTAGAGATGGTCAAATAATTAATATCATAACGTAAGAATTAAAAACAAAACTTACGTTCAACTCAAAAGTTGTTACTTACTCCCATTTGATATAAATATTTTTTTTTCCCTTCTACTAAGATACACAATTCTACACTAGATTAATTTCTTTTACATGTAATATCAAATAAAAATATTTCCATCAATACATTTTTATTTGCTTTGTCTTCTTAAAAATATTATGATTTGCTTATTGTCTTTTAATTTGAATCTTATGTTGTCTCTTTCTATTTTTGACTTTTAGTTCTCTTCTTTTGAGTTTTTTTTTTTCATTTTACAATTTAATTTACCAATCAAATATTATAAAGTATGCTATATCATGTATTATTTGGTGTAAACCTTATCATTTTCATGCATTGTTTTACCAGGAGATTATAAAAACATGTTTTCCTGGAAATGGAGAAAAAAAACGGGTTCCATGACTTTGAGGTGGTTAACTATTGTGCAATTACCAAATATATAGAAGAGAACATTCAAGCTGGTGGTTCAGAAAGATTAAACATCTTGACAAGAGAAAGAAGTTGTTCATCATGAAAGATGAATCATTGGTTCTACAAAACTATATTTCTAGCTTCAAAGATTTTGGATTCATGGCTATATATATGACATGGTAAAATGTTAGAGAGGTATCAAGTTTCAAATATTATAGTGATATGTTTCTCATTGCGTTGTATATGTTATGGAGCTAAATGAGTATTACATATAATAACTATAGTTTAACAAAATTTACATAGAGAATGTCAATAATATTTTATTAATCTTCATCAAAAAAATTATTTCTTTTTTTTTAATTCGTAGATTTAATGTGTGTTTAGATCCAAAATTTGTGTATATGCGTTTATTCAATTAAGAAAAATTATTATAAAATTAATATGCATTATATTTAAATTCAAATAAATACATGATCATCCAAATCCTAATAATTTACACTCGTTTATTATAAATTATAAGTATATTTTTTCCATCACACTAAACAGACAAATACACTCATATACATTCAATGCCTCACATCACATATTATACATTTTCTTCATGAACCCTAAATATCTTCTATATAAATTATATAATTTAGTTTTAAGTTATACTTTCTAATTTTTAATTTTATCTTTATAAAACATATGCATCAAGCCGCGATACCTAGTATCATAATAAAATTATTAATACACCCACACCCACACCCACACACACAGACATACACACAGAGAACTATATTGTCATCTCCGTTCTATTTATCTATATTTTTTATGACTTTCTTCCCAAAATCTTAACCGATAACATCTCTTTTCGTATTTTTCTTCTCTTTTCATTTCAATTTTTAGATGGTATTCATATACATGTAATGTTCATTATCATCTCAATAATTTTTTCGTGATTTGCAATCACATCAAAGTGTTTTTATATTTCTTGAAAAAAAAATCTTTTAATATATATAGATACTGAAACGTAACTGGTTCTTCTTTTTCATGCACATAATTCACCTAACCTTTGAAGAAACAGCCACAAAACTAGGGTTCCTGCAAAAATAGAAACAATTAGGACTATCTCAATCGACAAAGACCTTAGAAAAGGGAGAAATGTTTTTACATCTAGAAGTTACAAAAAGCATATCTATATTTATGATGACCGATGATGATGATCTTAAACATGCACAGCCTATGGTTTTAATATTATATCATTTATTAGAGATTGTAGTAAAGATGTTAATGGTTTGAGACTTCAGAGGACAACCAACTCAGATTCTCAAAAAAAGGGCGAACATCAGACTTGTCCATGTAATATATTGATGTAAACAAACACCAACCATGCAAAATGTTTGTCCTGTCTCATCATATACAAATGTCAGATAAAAACAGAGCAGGTATTTTATCATGATATTTTATATAGTCACGACGACAATCATTTGTGACAGTTTGTCTAGTTGATTCATTTGTGAGAATATATTTGTATAGTAGACTCAATCATGGATAATACGAAAGACATCAAAATCTTTGAATCTCTGATCCAACAACAGAGAGGCAACACTTGTTAATTACATCAAAACTTTCACCACCCAAATTTGTCGACACCTTGCAGATCCCAAAATGAATTATAGCTATTCATCTGCATGCACGACTAGTCAAATTTCTTTTATTAGTCTTCAAATATTTGTTTTACATTATGATATGATGAGAATTGGCATTTAAATATCATTTTAATAAATTATTCTTCTCATGAGAATTTTATTGGTGTGATGACTCTAGACATGTGCGGTACTCAATCCTTTCAATTTCGCTCCTGTAAAACCATCCATGTGGACCGCCTAGGTGTTGGACTACATGGATGGTGGAGAGATGAAGATCATGTAAAAGAAGCCGATCGAGACATGTTGGATCGAACATAATGTTTACTATATATATGCATTTGCAAGTGATTTCCTTGGCAGTCGACAAAATATCTCTCCAACCAACACAGATGTTAACTTTGTCTGATCTTTGAACGAAAGGAAATCTCACAAAAAAATATGTGGCACAACAAAAATGAATAATCTTATACAATGAAGAGGATTGACATGTTAAGGGACAACACTCTAGTAGATGCTCAAATCAGATGGTGATCTAAAGCAAGAGACTACCATGAAAAAAATATAATAAAATTAAGCTTGCGATCCTGGTTGTTGGAAAGGAATGGGGATAAAACTAGGGATATAGGTGAGGTTAGAATGCCTAATAAGATCAACCATATAATTTATTAGAATCTTCCTAAACAAATCTTCTTTGACAATGTAGATGCAAGCATGCCCAGTTTCATCACAAGTACACACAAATAGCCTCTTCTTACTATCGACAAAGTAACTTGGCTGAGAGTCCCAGACATTTGTGTTGTAACCTCGGGATGTCTCGTATTGACACTGTCATGAAACACATCCATACCGCGGCCGCCTCCATTACAGTCAATCTTGTGCTTTGTCACAAAAATCTCAATCTTCCTAGTCATGTAAGATTGCCTTAACAAAGAAAACCGATCTCCCCTAAAAACAGCAAGGACTTGAGTTTAGCCAAAGTCTTGTTCGTTATGCGGTAAAAGACTAAAGGTCTTGAATATCACCTTTGAAAAATCAAAGCTTCGGATGAAATATTGACGAGTTGTTGAACGATAAGCAATCCAATATAAATTCCTAGTCAAGAAAATAATAGTATCTAATTGTGGCACACCCCAATCTTGTTCGCAAGGGGCACTAATTCAAAACTTCCACGAATCAGATTGGAACTCATAAATGGCAACTTTTGGGTAGAGTTTGCCACTAGCATCGAAACAAAGATCAACCCCAAGAATCTAGTAACCCATTCGAGGTCTACTGTTATCGTACCCTAGGCCACAAAACCTGAATTCGTGATTCTCTATCAATCTCTTTTGTCTTAAACAGGGGTTCCAAACCACAAAACCTTTCTTCCAAATGCTAGATAACAAGAGCCCATCGCAATGAACTAAGCTGGTAAGTATTGGGTATGGCATGTCAAAAGTTATATCACGCACCTCAATAATCATGTGTCGTTGTCGAGATTGATGATGTCTACCGAACAAAGATGGGAATTGGTCCGTAAGATGAATTGAGGGTGCGCGCGAGCCAAGTAGTTCCTCAAGAAACTCATGTCCTCCCAAAAAGCGTTCCAAGATTCAGATACCGCTCTGGATAGAGCAAATGATTTACAAAGTATCTCTCCAACCAACTAGGATGGTAACTTGTCTGATCTTTGAACGGAAATAAAACTGGGAATATAGGTGCGGTTAGATGGCCAAAAGACCAACAATGGAATCTATTGGAATTTTCTTGAACAAATCTCCCTTGACGACGTAGATGCAGGCATGCCCTGTTTCATCACAAGTAGACACAAATAGCCTCTTCCTATTATCGATGAAGTAACTTGGCTGAGAGTCGAGACATTTGTGTTGGAACCTCGGTAAGTTGGGTATTGAGACTGTCATGAACCACATCCACGCCACGGCCTCATGGTTCCCGTCAATCTTGTGCTTGGCACCAAAACCTTAATCTTTCTAGTAAGAAAAGATTGCCTTAACACAGAAAGGCGATCTCCCATGAAAACTGCGAGGACTTGAGTATTGACGAGCAGCAGGTAGAAGACAAAAGGTCTTGAACATCTCCTTTGAAAAATCAAAGCTTCAGATGAAATATTGACGAGCCACTGAATAAAAAGCAATTCAATAAAGATTCCCATTCACAGACACGATACTATCTAACTGTGGCACACCCAAATCTTATTCGCAAGGGGCATTACTAATAAACTTGCACGCATCAGATTTGCAGTTGTAGATGGCAACGTTTTGGTAGAGTTGGCCACTTGTATCGAAATAAAAATCATACCCAAAAACCTTGTAACCCATTTCGGGCCTACTGTTATCGTACCCTATGCCACAAAACCTGAAGTCGTGATTCTCTACCATTACCAATCTCTTCCGTCTTAATTAAACAAGGGTTCCAAACCTTAAACCCTTTGTTCCAAATGTCAGATAACAAGACCCCATCGCAATGACCTAAGCGGCTATGAATTTGAATGTCTGAGTTTATCTCACATACCTCAAGTCTGGGGTCATCGTCGTCGTCGTTGATGCCCGCGGAACAAATCTGGAAATTGGTCCATACGATGAATTGACGTCGCGCGCGAGCCAAGTACTTTTCGAGAAACTCTTGTCCTCTCAAAAAGCATTACATGTCTTGCTTACGGCTCTGAATCGTGCCAGAGATTTAGTTGGCAATCGATATATTATCTCTCCGACCAAGTATGATGGTAATTTCTCCGCTGGCGCCATTAGTTAGGTCCTTGTTTTGCTTCAACAGAGAATATTCCTACTGTTTGTGCCTTATTAGAGTCATTGAATTATTTGGGCCTTATTAGCGTCACTGAATTATTTGGGCCTTATTAAAAAAATATGTTCTTATCATTTTTTAACATTCAACTAAACACTGAACAAACCACTAATGTATATCACCACAAATATCTTGTTAAATAATTACAAAATATGGAATTTATGGATAATAACAAAATTAAAAAAAAATCCATAAAGTTCTTGATAAATGTTAATATGTTAATTAAGAAAATTTACATTTATCTTTAACTTTATCTACTTATCTACTTAACATTTTTGAAGTATATTTTTGTTCCTTTCAATCGGATCGGTTTTTTTTATTATTTTGACCCGGAAATAATTGATTCGGATCCTTCCTTATTTGTGATTTTGACCCAATTTCTTTTCAATTGGATCCTTCCTTATTTGAAACTTTCCTACATAAAATCCAAAAGCTCATCGGATCTTGCTAATCCTACCTGAAAACAAATTAAAACGAAATCTACATATACAGTTTTTTTTTTGTCGTCTAGATTTATTATTAATTGCAAATTATGAGAACTGTTACATAGACGATTCTACAACTGACAATTCCTTCCGACCCTTATTAGATCCACGACAGACTACACTTTCTTCTTCATAATCTTGATGAATACCTTCAATGATCCACGACCCGTCGACACTTCCTTCTCTGCGTAGAATCTTGGCGAACGGCTATAATTGTACATCGCTGAAGATCTCTTGCACACTTGCCTCCATTAATCTGCAAATTTGTTAATAAATCGCAATATCTGGGACTCGAACCCCAAACTTCTTGGTGTAGAAGCATTAATCAACCCTTGGTCAACCAATGAGCCAAGGGGGCTTCCACCTACATATACATTTTTGCAGGGGATTTTGGTTTTTAATTCAAATGGGATGGGTTTTGACCCAGTTTAATTCTGTTCGGATCCTGGATAAAATACTTAAGGAAATATTTTTAAAGAAAAACGACATTAATTAGTAATAAATTCGTTTTTCATATTTAATATCACAAAGAATCTATTTTGGTAATATTTTCTGATTTGGGCAACGAAATATGACGAATTTATGACAAAAAAAACTAGAAAATCTATATTATTCTAAAAGCGAATCCCAAAAATAACGTTAATGGATATTTTAAGAAATATCTATACAAAAATCTAAATAGTATCCTATATTTCCGTTTTAATACCAATTTAATTGTATACATATATATAGTTCCGTTTAGATTTAATTCGATAATTTATTAGATAAGATTATATCTTATCAACCCTAAAATTATAGCCTACTCTCTTAATACTATAAACTAGGGGAGGTCCCCGCGCCCGGCGCGGGGTTGTATGTTGATTAAAACCAGATTTAGTCATTTAGGGTTATAAGTTTTAGACAATTATTGATTTAATTTTGTCAAGAGTATAATTTTTATAACGACATTAATATAAAATTATGGTAAAACGCCATAACGTTTGATATATTATTGCGAGAAAATAGTGATTATTATCCTCTGAATATAGTAAAATGCAAAACGGAAAACTAAAATCATTAGAACCAGAAAGTATAAATTTAGTAGTCTTGGTTTGCTCATCAACAACCAAAGATAATCAAAAGATCAAAATTGGATGTGTGACATTTGTCCTTTCTTCTTGTTGGAAAAGATATCTCGCATCCTCGTTACATCATGACAAGAATGATTGAATAGAATCTGCGAACACTTGTATGAAGCAGTACCTCTTCGTGTACCTTAATTATCAAAGGAATATAGTTTCAATGTCTCAAACCCCAACAATACATGTTAAATAACAAAACCAAAACAAAATACTTTCATCAATACATTGCCTCCACTCAGCGAAAAATTTATTGACATAAAACCACGGTAGTCGATACCGGAGACGCTCACAACTACAAACAACAGAAATTTCGAAGGTACCAATAGTTCTTGACTTCGAATTTAATAATGTGACAATGACAATAATGTGACATCGACAATATTATGTTAACTTACAAAATCCTTCAATTTTTACAAGACATTGAAGTTTAAAGATTATGTTCATTTGGAAACTCCTTCCATTATCCTAAAGATATTGATGTCAAAACTCTTACGTTAATTTTGATATCATGCTCTTCCTCTCCAGACTATTTTAAATAATTGCCCACTCGTCAATGACTGGCTTCTTGGGAGCAAATTCAATCTGATGAGTGTTGTTTTTGTACTTTTGTAACAGAGTATGGGATCACCTCCTGCTCCTCTGTGAGATCTTTCGAGGTATGGAATTTGGTTTTCTCTAGGATTTATCCTCGACAAAGATTGTTTTGATTTTGGACTGAGATACTTCTTGGACCGACACTCTTCTACCCATGAGATACTTAAATAATTGTCAACTCGTCAAAGATTGGGTTTTTGGGAGCAAATTCAATCAAATGAGTGTTGTCTATGCACTTTTTCAGCGGAGTCTCGGGATCACCTCATGCTCCTCTGTGAGCTCTTCCTAGGTGTGGAATTTAGTTTTCGCTAGGCTTTATCCTCGACAAAGGTTGTTGTGCTCCTGGACTAAGCTACTTTCTTGGATCCGGCACTCTTTCTCTCTAGAGTCACTTAAATAATTGCCGACTCGTAAAAGACTGGCTTCTTGGGGACAAATTTAATCCGATGAGTGTTGTCTTTGTACTTTTGTAACGGAGTCCCGAGATCACCTCTTGCTCCTCTGTGAGCTCTTCCCAGGTGTGAAATTTAGTTTTCTATAGGTTTTTTCCTCGACAAAGGTTGTTTTGCTCTTGGCCTGAGCTACTTTCATGGATCGTCGAGAGTCACTTAAATAATTGCTCACTCATCAAAGACTGGCTTCTTGGGGCCAAGTGCTGTATTTTCACTTTTGCAACAGAGTCTCGGGATCACCGCGTGTTCTTCTGTGAGATTTTTCAAGGTGTGGAATTTGGTTTTCTCTAGGATTTATCCTCCACAAAGGTTGTTTTGCTCTTGGGTTGAGCTACTTTTTGGCACCTGACGCTCTTTTTCTGTTGAGACACTTAAATAAATCTCGCTCCAATCGTCCTCTTCAGTCATTAAAGACTGGTTTCCTGGGGACAAATTCAATTCGAGGAGTGTTGTCTACGCACTTTTGCAACGGAGTCTCAGGATCACCTCATGCTCCTCTGTGAGCTCTTTCGAGGTGGGAAATTTGATTTTCTCTAGGCCTTATCCTTAACAAAGGTTGTTTTAATCTTGGGATGAGCTACTTTATTGGACCCAACGCTCTTCCTCTCCTTACACTTTTAAATAATTGCCGACTCGTAAAAGACTGGCTTCTTGGAGATAAATTCAATCCGATGAGTGTTGTCTTTGTACTTTTGCAACAGAGTCTCGAGATCACCTCTTGCTCCTCTGTGAGCTCTTCCCAGGTGTGTAATTTAGTTTTCTCTAGGCCTTGTCCTCGACAAAGGTTGTTTTGCTCTTGGCTTGAGCTACTTTCTTGAACCGTCGAGAGTCACTTAAATAATTGTCCACTCATCAAAGACTGGCTTCTTGGGGGCAAGTGTTGTATTTGCACTTTTGCAACGGAGTCTCGGGATCACCTCGTGTTCCTCTGTGAGCTTTTTCAAGGTGTGGAATTTGGTTTTCTCTAGGATTTATCCTCCACAAAGGTTGTTTTGCTCTTGGGTTGAGCTACTTTCTGGCACCTGACGCTCTTCTTCTATTGAGACACTTAAATAAATCTCCAATCATCCTCTCCAGTCGTTAAAGACTGGTTTCCTAGGGAAAAATTCAATCCGATGAGTGTTGTCTATGCACTTTTGCTACGGAGTCTCAGGATCACATCCTGCTCCTCTATGAGCTTTTCTGAGGTGGGAAATTTGATTTTCTCTAGGCCTTATCCTCAACAAAGGTTGTTATACTCTTGGGTTGAGCTACTTTATTGGACCCAACGCTCTTCCTCTCCTTACACTTTTAAAGAATTGCCCACTCATCAAAGACTGGCTTCTTGGGAACAAATTCAATCTGATGAGTGTTGTCTTTACACTTTTGCAACAGAGTCTCGGTATCACCTCATGCTCCTCTGTGAGCTCTTCCCAGGTGTGGAATTTAGTTTTCTCTAGGCTTTGTTCTCGACAAAAGTTGTTTTGCTCTTAGGCTGAGTTACTTTCTTTGTCCTAACGCTCTTCCTCTCTAGAGTCACTTAAATAATTGCCCACTCGTCAAAGACTGGCTTCTTGAGGACAAATTCAATCTGATGAGTGTCGTCTTTGCATTTTTGTAACGAAGTCTCATGATCACCTTCTGCTCCTTTGTGAGCTCTTTCCAGGTGTGGAATTTAGTTTTCTCTAGGATTTTTCCACAACAAAGGTTGTTTTGCTCTTGGATTGAGCTATTTTCTTGGACCTGACGCTCTTCCAGTCATGTGCCTTCTTTGCTTAGAAAAGTAGCATCTCAAGTGGTGGTTTATAAGTTCTGGCGACAGCGTAATAACATTCTCCATAACTCCTTGCGGCTTGCTGCTCAAATCATTTTCAAGATGGTGGAGTGGAGCTACGAAACATCATCACTTCGAGATGAACAAAGCTTATGCTTATTTGGATTCGTTATCTATTTCCAAATCTTTCTTTACTCTACTGTAGTCTTGTTTTTATCTCTTTTTTTGCCAAGGTTGCTTTTGTGTAATTATTTATCTTTTGTAAAGCCTCAAACTTCATTTTAGATCATATTTACATGTTTAGGAAAAAAATAATTCGGAAAAATGGAAACAAAAAAAATAGATAAGCTTAGTAACTAATAAAAATTTCTGTGATCCTTAGCACAAAACAACTCTGCATTCCTGCAACTTTCAGCACACATATTTTTTAGCATCATTCGGGTGCCATTGCAAACAATAGTAGCCAAAACCATAAGAAACAATATCATAGAAACGTGATCGGCTAATAAATATTCAGAAATTATATATACATGAAAAACAACAATATTCGAATACCTCGAGTGACTTCTATTCTAGTGAATCTCATGATAAATATGGTGATATTATCACATTGTTTACTCCGTTCTCTCAAAAATTTACAACAGTATCCACCATGTAGTCGACATTATAGACGTAAATTTATTATAAAATTAAGTTTTTAGCATACTACCCAAATTAAACTATAACAAATCTAATTTTGATTAAATTAATAACTTATAATTCATCTTCTAATTCCACATAAACTTGATCCAACACTTTATTATTGGTTTTCCGTCTTCAATATTTCTAACACTCACGACCCAACCAATTAAATATAATTATTTAAATTAATAGATCAAACCATAACAATGCAAAGAATAAAATATCCAAACAAAAGATATTATGGGACCAGGGAAATAAACATACTCAAAATTAAGTATCAATTTTCCTAAAAGATGCGAATGCGCAGTAATCAATCGCACCCAAGGAAGGTATATGTGAAACAAAGATTGATAAATTCCAATGAATTTTAAAATCATAAAAAGTATGACTAAGCAAACCGATAACATGAATCAAAATCTCTAAGTGTTATCCATCCAGGGCCTGCCCTGAGATTTGAAGGGCCAAATACTCAAAAAAAGTTTTTGGTTATTTTGAAAGGTTTTAAAATTTAGGGCCAATTATAGTAAAATAAATAAAATTAGGTCCGTTTCATAAATAATTTTTGTTGAAGAATTTCAGAAACAAAATTTGGGTTACAGCAAAAGTTTCTTGTTGATGTCTATAGGGCCGGCCATGTATCTATCGTCCTTGGAAAAACCTGAATCCACGATGACGATAATACTCTCTATCAATTATAGTATGTATGTCGTGACCCTAACAAACAAAATAAAATTGTTAAAGGTATAGCAATCTTTCAGCAAACAATTTATTTTATTAGAAAAACCAAAAATCTGTATAACCTCTGTATCAGTATAAGTTGGAACATATCGTCCAAGATCGAAGAACACTTAAACCTATTAAGTATCTATACTCAGATACTTTGATTTTACAAGGGAGCACTGAAGGGTGCAGATATGACACTCATGCTACGATAAAATCTTTCAAAGCATTTCTTGCTCATCTTCGGGGTTTTGTCCCATATTACGAGCCTAGCTAATCTAATCAAATATACATGATGAGAATATGTCTTTATCAAGTAAGTAGTGGATTGATTAGGGTTAAGTGGTATACCAAACCTCCTTAATTAAGACTCTTGGTCTCTTAGTCTCTGTTTCTATACCCTCTGTTTTACCTCTTTGTAAAGGAAGAATCTAGATTATTCCACTTCATGACGTATTAATTAAATTTTCCAACATGCTATTTTTACATTTCACTGAATCGTTTGCTTCGCGGAACAGTTTCCTTCAAACATTGAGAAAAAAAATCATCATTATTTGATGTTCTAAAACTGAACAACAGAGCAGATGCAGGTATATCATGGATATTGAGGCTTAGAGTTGATACAAAGTTGTTTCTGAAAGATTTACCTTGCTTTGATTTTAGTCTTTTCTCTCTGTCACATTTCCCCTTAGCACTGTCTGTTTTCTAGAAGTAGCAGACACAGTCAAAGGTGTCTGTTTCCTTTGAGCGTCAGAGCATAATCATTTCCCTACAAACCATGCGATACAATAATTAGCATTTTTCATCTATAGTATCATGTCTGATAATCAATACCTTAATGGGATTGCTTTCAATACATGTATGAGATATGTTTTTCCGCAATTTCTTGCTCCGTGGGCGATGACATTAGCATCTTTACCCTCAAAGACAGTAGAGATAAGAGGCTTTATCTCCTTTGATAGAATTAAACCTGTGATTCTGTTTTTTTTGTAGCAATAGTCCAATTTATATGAATCTTTCGAACTGCCACAACACAATAGTTAATATGGCTTGAAACGTTGCTAATCCACAACAGACTGTGAAAGATTTAACTCAAAACTCAAAAGTATATTCTACTCGGTGAGAACATTTTTGTAAAATTAGAAAATCGATAAATTAAAGATAAAAGATCAATTGAAACATCACTTGAATCTTCTTAATGCATCGTGGTTGCTTTCATTCATCCAAAACATACAATCGTTTAAAAAAAAACAAACACTATTAGAATTTATAGTAACGAAAATAATATGTATAGCCAAAAAACAAGAAGATGAGCATACCAAGGCTCCTCGGAGGCAACGATTGGTGTCTGAAAATTTTAGCAGCGTTGTGCCTCTTGTTGGTTGGAATTGGAACACCAGCTGGTGTATAAGGATCACACATAACCTGCATGTATCAATAATCAATAATTTCATGGATCTGATATAGTTCCAATTGAATTTGGTACACTAATCAGATAAAACAAACCATGAATTTGGTACACCAGCCTTTATTGAAGTTTAATATAATAATTGATGATTAAGCGTTACATAGATGGATAAAGACGTGACAATAAAAAAAGATAGATAAAAGCAAGCTTTACGTTTTTACACGCCTTGATTCAAGGCAAGACACCGAAACACCCCGTGAAACAAACCATGTTCATACCTAAATAAAAAATCCATAAAGAGATCATTATTTAAAAAAAGAGATAAAACTTCTGATCGCATCAATACAAAGAAATAATAATAATTGAGACTCCTGGTGAAAGATAATCAGAGAGAAGCAAGAGAAAAAGAAGAGTTCCCAACGATTATAGTCTATTGGGGTTGTTGAGAGGCCGTAATTTGCATCATGATGGAACCAATAATCAAACTGATATCAAATTATGTAAATACAAAATCGAAGCTTCTTTTTTTTTAGTGAAGAATATGGTAAATACAAAATCAAAGCTTCTTTTTTTTTTAGTGAAGAATATGAAATCTAAGCTGCTCGCAAAATATTATGGGAAAGCTTATAGATTTCTCAATACACCAAGCATAATTTAAATATTAAACATGAAAGTACTAAAGTGAAAAACTCACCATATGTTCGATTGAATCAACAATTTAATTGTCCTGGAATTTTTTAACGACGTTGCATCCGTAACCTATAACAATACATAAACACCATGAATTCATATGTGTAAAGCCAAATAAAATAAAACGCAAAAAAAAAAAAAAGCAAAAAAAATGGGGTTAGTTATGATTTGAAAGTGAAACCTAGAGAAGGTATTTATATTAAACTAAAAGGCGGTGTACGATCTAATTTTTTTAATTTTTGAAGATAATTACAACAACAAGAAATGAAGATTTATATATTGTGTTAGATCAAATCTTTATCAAAACAATTAATATTCCTAAAAACAATTAATAACTACTATGGATATTAATTATATAAAAATATTCCTTATTTTATTTGTTAAAAAATGGAACAATAACATAATTTTTTTTAGATTTACAATTATATTTGACATTTATTTAGATACACCATCATTATCGGTATAAAATATAAAAGAAAGTTTCTTTTATTTTATCAGATTTGTGAATTTAAAGAATATATGATAGTTGTTTTGATATTATCGGCAATATCTAAATATTTTAGAAAAGTAAATTTTACTTTTAAAAACAATTGGCTCGTAATTATCACAACATAAATTTACCATTAATATATCAAAAATATAATTAAACGATTAATTATGAGACACATCTTTTGTTGAAAAAAAAAAAGAACCAAAAAGGAAAAAAAAAACACGGAAAAGGAAGAGAAAATAAGAAGACACGACCAATCCTTTCTCCGACGTAATTGTATGTGACTCACGACCATGATTAGATTGGTGGAGATTAATCATTGGATGTTCTTGGTCGAACGATAAACCGTCATAAAAAAGGTATGTAAACTACATTTGATCCAAATTTATTTATTTTTTTCATTTTTTCGTGTTTAAGAATATTACTATTTTTTTAAATGTAAAATATATCGAATTTTTATATTTTAGGGTCAGTTAATTTTTTAATTTTAATTAATATTCGAATTAATTTAATAGAAGGTATTTAAGTAATTACGCAAAATTAAGGGCTCAACAAGAGCCGAGAGTCCGACACGTCAGCAAAAACACTTCTCAAATATTGTTATTATAGATATAGTATTCAATTTTGTTATTCTCATATCATTCAAAGGTTCACTACAAAAAAACAAATATAAGATTTGTTTGGCTCTTTCTCAAAAAATGGAAATTGTTAAATCTCTTTAAACACATGTTCTTTATATTAGCACATGCTTTCTATGATTTTCCGTAAGTATTCAATTGGTATTTTGTTTTTTTATTTGGTTTAGATTGAAGACTCCAAAAATCTTCCGGTTGCTCTTACATCAAGAATAGAAGTGACGTATACAGAACTAATAAAGTCCTCGAAGAAGACTGTATATCTAGGAGAATAAACAAATACTCCGACTGATGAGTTTATCGGCAAATAGAACGAGTCACTGGAGAAAAAGTGTAACGCATGGCTTTGTTGATTATCTAATCCTTAACTATCATTACTACTTCTCAGGTGAGTCTACAATATAATAGTATTAATTATTTATCTATTATTTTTACATTGTGTATTAAAAACAATTTGAACGTAATCAATTGCTTTTTGAATCTCCTTTTAAATTTAGAATCTCATGTGAGTAATTTCTAACTTTAACCGTAAATCTTTTAAATAAATATATATATATATATATATACATATATTATGGGAGTAGTTTCTAATCTTAACTGTGAATAAATATATATATATATATATATATATATATATATATATATTTACTTTAGGATTGCTTTCGACATTTTTGAAACGATGGAGAACCAAAACCCAAAATAAATCATCATATAGCCTTTGAACAAATTCTAAAATAATTTTAAAATTAACAATCTTAATGAATTTTTTTTTCATTGGCGGTAATTATTTTCATTGGCGGTAATTAACAAGATATTGCGCCCAACAAACATTGCCAAAAATATCTTCAAAAATTATCCACGGTTTAATTCTATAATTTCTTTTTAAAAAACCGATTAAAAGAGATAACAAAGAAAACATAATATATTTAAGAATCCTAATAAATAGTAGTTACCATAACTACTATAATTAAAATAATAATTCGAATAGTTGTTACCATAACTATTAAATCTTAACTAGATTTTAACCCGCGGTACACCGCGGAGCTATAATTTTTTTGAAAATTATCTATTGCTCTGTTTGATTTAAATGTACTTATTATATATATTACCCCGCATTAAACCCGCGGATCGATTTTTGATAACTAAATATTGAAATTTTAAGTTGAATTTATTTTGTTTAGCATTTATTGTATTTTGATAGTTAATTATACGATTTCACTCGTAGTACCGCCTCGTAATAATATTGATTCAAACCCGTCATACCATATAACCCTGTCCCGTGAAATTAAACATTATTTTGTTATTGTTTTTTATAATATTTTAATTTAAAAGACATATATAATTTGAGTCAATTAAAAAGTTTGCTTTAAATGGCTCCCAAAATATATATATATATATATATATATATATATATATATATATTTTAATTGTTATAGAGTTCAAATATCATTAATATTATAAAGTTTTTATAAAATTTAAATATTATAAATACTTTAAACGTTTTATCATCTTAAAATATTTACAATGTTTAAACTTCTTATAAATTCTTATAAAGTTTAAATATTTATAATACTTGAAACTTCATAAAAGTTTTAATATCGACCCAAACTTCATAATTGTATTTTGGTTGTTAGTTCTAAGATTTCACTCGTAGTATATCGTTCCGTATTAATATCGACACAAACCCGTCACACCATATAATCTCGTCCCGTGAAATTAAACATCATGTTATTTTTCTTTTTAATAATAATTTTATTTAGAAGACATATAATTAGAGTTCATTTAAAAGTTTGTTTTTAAATTGTCTCTATAGTATATATATTTATAATTTTTATAGAGTTCAAATGTTATTAATAGATAAAGTTTTTTTTATAGAATTGAAATATTACAGATACTTTTAAAGTTTTATAAAATTTAAATATTTATAATATTTAAATTTCTTATAAGTTAAAAATTAATAATATTTAAAATTCTTATAAAGTTAAAATATTCATAATATTTGAAACCTAATGAAATAATAATAATCTAAAATAACATATTATTCCGTAGACATAAATAATATTTATATATTTGGTAATAATGTTTTTTTGGAGTTAATCTAATTTATAACTAAAATTATTTATAGCCAAAATGAGTTTGGTTTATAATAAGTAATATAGAAAAATGAGTTTGCCAAATAACGAATAGTAACCATAATTTAATGAATGTACATTAAATTAAATATATTTAAAAAATGAATTACTTAAAAAAATTGATTTTGTCAAAATTAATTAATATCTTTAAGATATTATGGAAAGGATTAGTTATGGTTAAGATATTATGTTAAGATTTTTTTGGTAATTAATATCTTTGATTTAAATTTTCGAAATTAAATAATTAATGCTAATGGCATGCTATTGTAAATATTTCTCAACTTCAGGATTTATTTGCTAATTGTGATCCAAAAATGTATATCTCTACAATAATTAATTGAGAAGTAGAAACGCACCACATTCAAAGTTAGGGCATTGGAGGCCTGTGGTTAAAAGTTGGAATGATTTGTCCTAAACACCCTTAATGAATTGTTCTTCTCGAAATTTCTTCTTCTTCGTAATTAGGGGTATATAAGTCTAATCGTGTGTTGATCTCTATAATAATGTCCTAAACACCCTCGATTTCGAAAATTTTTGTTCTTAATTGTTAAGGGTATATAAGTCTAATCGTGTTTTGAGATGATTAGTCTTAATCACCCTTAAATTTTTTTATTTTATAGTGTAATCGTTGGGGATACGGATGTCATAATGTCTCGACTTTAATGATTATGGAATCTTAGCTTAAATTTATTTGTTAATTTTTTAGATAATTCTATATCTTAGTAGTTAAAATTCGTTTTTGTTAGTTTTCTGATTTAGTTTCTAATTAAAAAGTTAAATTTCTTAAGATAATGATTGATGTTTGCCCTAATCTTAAAGCTATATATATGGTTGATCGGCCAGAGAATTATGTATTATTTTTTTCTGTGGCCATTAGATAGTTTTCACCGTTATGGTTTTTTTATACATCAACGATTCTGATGAATCAAGTTGTTTGTCATGCAAATATTGTTTTCATTCACCTTTAGAGGTTGTGTGCATATTGTTTGTGTTGTTTGTTTTATTTTTTTTGCATTATTCGTTGATTTATTGTTTTGCTTATTTGTTTTTTTGGTGTGTGTTTCAGTTTTGTATAACGTGGGAGGTTCCATCGACAAAGCGCTCCGACGAAGGTGGTGTTGACGAGCAAAGAACGAGGTTTGGGAAGGTACTTCTATAGTTTTAGTTTGTATATTTTTATATTTATTTACCTATATAAATTTATGTGTTTCTTCCTGTTATCGTATATATTTTTTATGCGATTTTATTGCGTATTAGTTGTCCCTGCATTCATAATTTTTTTCAGCATATATTTTTGATTTTTATTATGTTTTTTTACCTCTCAGGTTACAATGAGATGTGGGCATACGATCATCAAAGCGTGTTTGTTTCATCGTACAAAAAGTCAGTCTCTAATCTAAACTATATTTTGTATTTTATCATGAATTTACATGCTTTTCTTTTTGACTACTAGAAACCCTAACGTATATTTACTTTCTAAAACACAGAAATCTGTTTTGAAGCTCACGAAAAACAGAGGTTGCTCGCTCTAATGTCATTATCGTGCAAGTTATCGTCTCTGGTGGCTCTCTAAATCGACATCGATGTCGAGATTGCAAAGTCTATCGTGATAAAATTGTAAAATAGAGAGTTTCTTATGACTTTATCGTGCTGATTTGGTGTTTTTTTGACTAGATCTTCGATTTGGATATATGTTCGTTTATGCTAATTTTTTGTTTTGATTTGGCAAATTTAGATCTGCTTCGATTGCAGTACGAAGGATCCGACTTGGGTATATAGGTGTTTTACCTGGAGGAAAGGTAATTCCAACGAATAGATAGACAAGAAGAGCACTGAGTAATATAAACAAGAACATCATCGGAGCTCCTGTTTATCCTTCTGCTGTCAACAAGAGACCATTCACCAAGTAATTACTTATTACCTTCTTCTTTGAATGATCCTTTATTTGTAAAGTTGTATACACTTATCTTACGAACCAATTGTTTTCTCAGGAAGAATGGGATATGTAACAAGAAGATTCCACTCCATTGCATCGTCCGGTTACTAGGTCGGTAAATTTCAATTGATTTCTGCTTCAATGTCACAATTGTATTATGAGTTTGGTTAGGAGCTATAATTCTTGATTTAACTTCAGGAAATTTGCTGCTCAGTTAGCTGAGAACAATCCCCAAATTCACAAGGAGGTAACTTTATATTGACACAAATTGAATTTGGTAATTAAAAACATGACATGGTTTAGGTTGTCTAATCTCAAGTGTTTTTTTTTTGTGGTTAGGAAACCAAGAAACCAGACTTGATTTCGAACGAAACATTAGATAGAATCATAACAGATGTGGAAGAAGGAGACTTTAATGAACCAATGTTTGTTCAACACACTGAAGCCATGCTTGAAGAGATTGACCGAATGGTAAGGTTAACAATTTAAGCCACTCTTTTTTTTTGTTGGTTACTCGGATGAAGATATATGTTGTCTTTTATCTGCAGGAAGGAATTGAAATGGAAGATTCAAATGATATTGATGTTGAAGTAGAAGAGTCTGTGATGGATATAGACAGCTGTGACAAGAACAATCCTCTAGCTGTAGTTGAATACATTGATGACATATATTGCTTCTACAAGAAAAATATTGGTTACATATGGGATTTTCATGTTCTTGCAAGCATTGGATCAGATTCTAAAGGTAAAAACCATTTATGCTTTTTCTATTTCTTTTTTTTCCGTGGGAGTTAATAGAGAGAGAGAAGAAGAAGAGCATTGAGGATTTTAATGTAGAAAGATATTTGTAGAAGACATCTTTCAAGAGAAAGGATAGGATGTGTTTGGGTGTTTATGAGCATGTTTGACTTCAGACATGGTGGATCTAACCAGAAGCTTTTGATGGATAAGAAACGTGGAAGCAAAAGAATCATAGGTTTTTCTTCTTTTCTCTTTTGGGTATTGGAATGTGTCTGAACCAAAAAAGATTCTCACGTTGTTGGTTTGAAGAAACAATGCAGGTAATAATGGAATGTTTGAGACTAAGGTTGAGAAGCAGCTTACTTGTGACTGTGAGGTCTTTGTTAAGTTTTTGTTGGATTTAAGAATCAAACTTGCTTTTGTTGTGTAAAATGGTTTTGTGAGAAATGAAAAACTAAAGTAGATTGTTTTGTCTCTGGAAAGTGAAGCTGAAATGCAGAGTGTCAAGATACTAAGATGAGATTGATGAGAAGTCTAAGAAAGGTAACAGATGTTTGTGTATTCAGCATTTTATATAAGACTCTGATGTTTGTTATGTATTGTCTAATCAAAAACCAGTTTTCAGACAACTTTACAATTGCTCTGTTTCATTACGATGGGATAGCAAGTGAGTGGAATGACGAGTTTGAGTGGAGCTAAATTTGATTCAATCTGAATGTAAGGTTGTGGCGGAGACGTTTTCAGATTTGACGTTTTCAGATTTCAAATATATATAGAACTAATTATGTTTTTGGTGAATCAGGTTAATGTTCTTAAACCAAACCACAAATCAAAGAGATATTGAGTCTGAGATCGAGGTGAGCCAAGAAGGCAAAGTAAGGGAATTGTCATGGATAATGTTAACTCTAGATTAAAGGTGTCTTCCCGTCAGATTTTTTTCTCCCTAAACACTGTGAATATCAAATTAGACTAGATAATCACAATACATCTCTTCTTTTTCTCCTTTGTATTCTGGATACTAATTCCTCAGGTTCAAGGAAAAGCCGAACGCATTATCACAACCCTTAAATTCGAAAAAGAAGAAGGAGACATCACTCAACAAGGAAAAGATACTAACTCTTCAACTAAAGGAAGAGTTAGCAGAGATAGACACACGAAATACAGAGTTGTACAAGGTAACAGTATTATTACATTCATGAATCTCTCTTGCATTTGATCTACCAGAACACAATCATGCTATTGGTCTTTTGCAAATTTGTTCAGATTGGATGTGGTGAAGAAGGAGAACACATTTGCATGGCTTATAAAAAGAACCATTGGGTCTCATCTCTCCAATCATGTTGAGGAGTAATCAACGACGGTGGATTGAGGCGTACACGGCGGTGGCACTACCAGAGAGGTTAACTGTTAAATTTTCTAAATTCTACTCTTTTAATCTCTCAATCAAATTATCAGTAGTGGCTACATGTAATGGAGACTTAAAACGAAGGATTCAAAAGGTAAAGATTGTCCGATGCATTAATGCTTTTGTTTATATCCATGGTTGGGGTCTTTGGATATTCTTAACTCTTTTTCTTTTGTTAGTTTGCAGATTCCTGGTGTGCCGATTATGTATGTGATGACTTACGGCTATCCTGAATTCTAGAAGCTTTGGTAACAAGATCTGTGGGATAACAATTATAGAAGGGAAAGTCATGCTAATAACGTGCTGCTCTCTTTTCTTTTGGTGAGTTTCTTCAACATTTTTTTGATTTTAATTTGAAAGATGTGAGAGGTAGGTGATGTAGGTTATAGGTTTGATTTCCCCAGACGAATCCCATATCTCAGGTTTTGATTTTATCAATGTGGAAAAAGTGATAGTAATTATTTCTCATTCTTTATAGCAATTCACTTTGGTAAGCAAAAGCAAAGTGAAGCATTTGAGTATTCCACCACAAGTGACATTGTAGATTGTCTGGATTCTTCTACTGATCACTATTACTCTCCACAGATTTTGGAGACATCTATATACAAAGATTTAAGAATGATTAGATGCTTTTGCTTAAAAGGATCTGATTCGGTTTCTCATACTCTGTCTCAGCTTCTCAGCTTTCTTAATATCTCAACAAGAGGATATGAAAAGTGTTACTTTGTTAATTTCTCTTTTTTTTTTTGCTCTCGCCTCTCTTTCTTAGTTTTTGTCTAACAAGCTTTTTCTCCTTGATTGTTTTCCGTTTTCTGATGAGACTTTGTTTTGTTCATGGGTTTCAGATTATACTTGTGAGCAGATGCAACAGGTGGCAGAGATGGTGAGAATAAGATAGCTCGAATGAGAGTCTTGGAGATGACAATGTTCAGCATAATCATCACATGAAGAGCTTACCATCGGTCCGTACCCCAGGCATACGTCGTCTTTGAAGGTTCTAGAACATTCTAACTATAAAAAGATAACTAGAATATTTATTTTAGAATCTGTCAATGATGAAATTTTATTAGTGACTTTGATCCCTTTGATTTCGTTATATTTGGAATTGGAAGTTTAATCGTATATCACCATTTGAATCAATTAAGATATTCCCACAATTATGTTTTCTAGATATGATGAGTAGGTGCTTCCAGATGAAGGTAAGAAAAGTTTAAACTTTCGTACTGATCTTTAAACTTCTTTTGTGGCCTTTGTTGTTAATTTTGGTACCTTCTTCAAATCCAATTATGTTTTTTTTCTATGAACCTTCGATCACATATGATCGTTGGCTTTTGCAGAAACTAATTGTTCCTGTTGACCTTTGGAAAGCAATCAGAGACAGACAATTTGTCAATATTTTATCTTCCATTGTGGTTTTTGATCTCTGTTTGTTGTTGTAGACAAGGGAATCACCACTAACTCAAGGATCGATAACACATCTATATGATCTTTTGGTGAATGGTAACAGTCTCCAAATTCTCTAACACATTCTCCAAAACCATTTTCAATATCAATATCATAATCTCTGTTTCTTGTGGTTTTTGATCTTTGTTTGTTATTATAGAGGTGAAAATACATTTGCTTCTAAGTATTCAAAAGAAACAACAATTCTCCTATTGGATCTGATTTTTACTATATATAAATCACACATCTGTTTGCTATTGCTGAGAAAATTCACACATGTGTTTCTTAGGAGATTTGGAAATATAGATAAGACTAGAGATGTATGAGCTTTTTCCTTGATTGAGTTTGAATCTCTTTGGATTAAAACCGGAAAATTTATCTATAAAATTATGACAGTATGAGTTTTGGAACTTAGAAAGAGTAATGGGCTTCCATATATCAATGTTTCTTCTCTAGATACTCTTTAACAGTTGTTTTGGGTCTTTAAAAAGTATATACTTGCTATGATTTGTGCAGGTAGCTCGGAATCTTGGAAAAAGTCTGCGTACATTTCATCCAACGATTAGAGAGCAGACTTTTGTTTTGTTTTTTTATCTCAAGACTTTAAGAAAAAAATGAGGTTAGTTTGTATATTGGCCAACTATTTTTGATTGTTTGGAAAAACTTTACGTACATATCAGCTAACGATTAGAGAGCACAGGTTTGTTTTTTTTATCTTAACACTTTGAGCATGGTGGTAGCAGTCTCTGCCTTTTGGATTGCTCTTTTGCAGGCTGCAGTTATTTCGCGAAGCAGTACATGGTTGGTGAGTAATGAGTTTGTCATTTTCATTTTTGCTTATTACTATTCTCCATTAGCCCATATGAATAATGTATTTCTTTGCACCAGCTACCGATATACTTTGTAGTGTCCCTGGGATGCTATGGTCTATTAATAGTTTGAATTAGTCTAATGCAGTTCCTACCTGTCCTACAGATGCATTCTCTTGCAGCATGGACTTTCTTTACCCTTTTCTTAAGAGCAGTTCTCTTGCAGCATGTACTTAACCTTTTTCTTTCGTTGTTAACCTTGAATTCTCAAAGCTTATTAGGGTATAATTTAGTTCTTTGCAGAATATTACAGAGGCAAGCTAAGAGACTTCTTAAGCGTTAATAGAGCATTAACCTCTCACCTACATAACAATTGTATTATAATATTGTATGTGGGAGATGTACTTTGAGAAATCAGGGTTAGCAATTGGAATTTTTAGGGCTTTAAATATGAGCTGAACAAGAAACTCTTCAAACACATTCATTTGTGTCGATAGTTGCATTTGTTTCTGTCTGAAACTCTGGTAATAATAATAAAAACATGCATGGTATGTAGATATATTCGTCCATTGAAATAAAAAGCACAATACTCTTTTTCACTTGAACGGATTGTAAATAGCGTCATCATTTTATATATGTGCATTACATTTAAAATAACCACTTCAAATTGTACAATATTATTACTAAATTAATATAAAATATACATGATGTTAATACGTTTTCTCCGGGTCTTCATATATGTAGAACGTTTATTTATGTTATCTACGTGCCTAACACTTAATCGGAACCTAAAACACTTAATATGATATGCATACTGTTTTATCTTTGTAATCAAAAATTTCCCATAAACACTTATCCCACATTAATTTATACTATCAATTACTTGCCCCTACAATTTATACACAAAATTCAACTTTACCACTATATTCCTAATCAAAAATATTTTACTCAATACTACAATGAAATTCTTAAACACAAACTATATACATAGATACAAATATCTCTTACATATTAACAAAAGATTACACATGTGAATGTTTGTGTATTGCTTTATCTTTGTAATCAAAATATTCCCACAAACCCTTATCCCACATTAATCTATACTATCAATTACTTGCCTTGGAATTTATACAACAGATTTAACTCTACTACTATATTCCTAATCAAAAATATTATACTCAATACTACAATAAAATTCGTGTCAAACAAACTATATACATAGATACAAATATCTCTTACATATTAAGAAAACATTCCACCCGGGCGAAGCGCACCTGTTGATAAACGTAGAAATTATTTTCGAATTTATGAGTTTATAACTATGATAAAAAAAAACAAGAAGAGCAAAAATGATGGTTTTATGCAGCCTCATAAAAAAGCTCTTGATAAACGTAGAAATTATTTGTTGATGGTGAGTTTGGCTATAACCAGGATAACAAAAGAAAGAGAGCAAAATTAACGATTTTCTCCTGTTTGACGAAAGAGCTCTTGATAAATGTATAAATCATTTGCTAATTGAAGAGTTTTGCTATAACCATTATAACGAAAAACAATGAACAAAATTGACAGTTTTCTACAACTTTGTAAAAATGTCCTTGATAACCGTAAATATCATTTGCTGGTTGATGAGTTTGGTTATAACCATGATATAAAAAAAGAAGTTGATGGGTTTCTGCAATGTAATGAAAGAGCTCTTGATAAACGTAAAAATTATTTGCTGATTGATTAGTGTGGCTATAACCATGATAACAAAACAAGAGAACCAGAATTGACGGCTCCGATGAAAGAGAACTTGATAAATAGAAATCATTTCCAGGTTGACGAGTTTGGCTGTAACAATAAAAACAAAAAAACAATGAACAAAATTGACGGTTTTCTGCAAGCTCATGAAAAAGAACTTGATAAACGTAAAAATTATTTGCTCAGTGATGTGTTTGGCTATAACCATGATAACAAAACAAGAGAAGAAGAATTGACGGTTTTCTATAATCTAATGAAAGAGATCTTAATAAACCTAGAAATTATTTGCTGATTGATGCGTTTGGCTATAACAATAATAACAAAAACTGAGCAAAATTGACGGTTTCTGCATCCTCACGAAAAAACTATTGACAAACGTAGAAATCATTTGCTAATTATGATGTGGAAGTCGAAACTAACACAATCAAGATTTGTCTAGGGTTTTATTTTAGGGATACGATAATCGTGAATTCTCAAAGAACAACAGAAACGATTGATACCAAAGATGGTGTTCTTGATATTATTAATGAAAAGATGATTTTGATCGTACAAGAGTTTGATCGTAAAAGAAAAAGGTGTTTGTGCTGTGAGAGCTTTGCTTAGTGTAATTTCTAGAGCGATATTGCTTGCCCCTTTGTTTGAGCCTTGAATCTCCTTAAATAGGGATCATAAACCGCCTCTCCAGCGATATTCTCGGAAGATTTCCATTTATCTTGAAGTCGGCCAGAATATCGCGGATTAGGACAATTTCCTTATTCTTCGGAGTTTTCGGAATATTTCCTGATTTGAGTTGATCCTTCGCGATTCTTCCTTATCATTTCCGAGTTTATCGGAAATGATCCTTCTTTTTCGGAAATGATAACTTGCTTGGAAATGATACCTTTAAAGAAGAATATTTACTAAGTCTTTGCTTCGGGCGATGATGAAGACTTCGCCTCGGGGAACTTGTGCAACCGGCTCGGGGACAAGAGAGGCACGGCCCAGGTTCCCGAGGGAAACCGGCTCGGGTTCACAGAAAGAGCCGGCTCAGGGGTCTCGACACGAATCGGCTCGGTTTCTCGGAATGAACCGGCTCGGGCGCTTGAAGGGACCCGGCTCGGGTTCACAAGCTTGCTGACGGACCCCGAGCAGACTACGGGTGTTCCCCGAGGCAACCAATGCAGTGACCCGAGGTGAATGGCAGTCTGACCCGAGGTGAATGGCTGTCTGACCCGAGGTGAATGGCTGTCTGACCCGAGGTGAATGGCAGTTTGACCCGAGGTGTCTTCAGAAGTTCCCTGAGGCGTTCGAAGTTCGGCTCGGTGCTATGGGATGAAATCCGACCCCAACAGTTAGCCCCCCAGCTCGTTGGTTCGAAGAGCAACCGATGAGCTTCACGACTGTTAGTCCGAGCCGTTTTAACTTTGTTCCGAGCCCATCCTTGTATGCCGTGAAATTTTCAAAATTTTCAATGCTTCAAAGATGGTTAGTGTCCTTCGGTGATTCTGAATCTTGACGATTCAAATCTCTTTGACGCTTCATCTTCTTCTAGCGCGTGTGACGGTTGAGATTCTACCTCGAGAAGTGGAAGAGTCCTCTGCTGATTCCCGAGAACCGTGCGGATGCGAAGTATCTTAATATTGGTCACGCGCACCCGACGCGCCCGAGACTTGGGCGGATGCGAAACATTATTAAACTCGTGTGTACCCGACGCGCCGAAGCATTCTATAAATATCCGACTCCTGCTTCATTTTCTCATTTCGCAATCTGCAAGGAAAATTTCTAAGGTTCGCTTCTTTTCTCTCTGATCTTGATCTCTTTAATTTCCTCTGCTTTGCTTTATTTTCCGTCGTTCCTCCGCCGTGCCAGATCTTAGATTTGGTTTTTTCCGATTTCAAATCTTGTTTTTCCCGATCCTTTCTGATTCACCCGAGCCGAAGATGTCACTCTCGGATTCAAGTGATTCATCCCGAGGCAGAAAAATTCCCGTTCATGAAAGGAAGATGATTTGGAGCAGTCCCTCGGAAGGAGCCGAGGCTAGTTTTTCAGATTGCTCCGAGCGGAACGGCGATAGTGAATCAAGGTCGTCACCCGTGGACCAAGATCCGAGCCAATTTGTGGCTCGGGAAGATACAGTTGCGAATGTGGCTCGGGATGAGGATCTTCCTGATGATCCCGAGGCAACTTTAATTACGGGGAGAACGCATCCTCCGTCTAAGGACGAAGCTGGGGGCTCTCGTTGGCAAAAAGCGCCCGAGCCGTCTTTGCTCCCTGTAAAGGCCGAGGCGATTCACTATGATTCCGACGCGGAGGCGAGAATGCTTCAGGCCAGGATGCAAGCGGCTAAGGCTCTGCAGCAAAAGACGAAGCGAGCCAGAAAAGTAAGAAGGCCCGACCCCCCTGGTTCTACGCTATCCACCGAGGACTCCCTCAGAGAGTTGAGAGTTCGGTTCGGTTTTAGTGAAGGAGTCACGATGAGGCTCCCGACCCCGAGTGAACGAGCCGATAATCCTCCCGAGGGGTTCTTCACGTTGTACGAGGGGTTTTTCAGTTTTTGTTTCCTTTGGTTCCCTCTCCCGAGGCTGATCGTTGAGTATTTGTGGTCGTACAAGATTGCGTTGGCTCAGATCTCAACTCGTGGATTGCGGCATCTTATCGGGATTTTAGTAAGGAGCTTCGAGGTAGATAAAGTTTTGTCCCTCGGGCATTTAAGGAGTTTCCTGGAGATTCGTCGTAGCCCGGGTCCTCTGGAAAGATACTACATCTCGCCGAGCAAAAATAAAAAGATCATCGGCGGGTTCCCGAGCAAGGATGAGAAATACACCGATCATTTCTTCTTCGTCGCGATTGACGAGGACTCCGTCCCCGAGGGATGCCTTGATAAAATTGTCGCGAAATGGGGCAAAATTGGTAGTTTACCCGAAGCGTTTGAGCTCTTCTTTCTGTCGTGATTTGATCGATTTATTCTAACCAGTTTTTTTTTGTTTTCAGATCGTACCCCGGCGTTCCTCGAGCTTATCCCCGAAGATCTTTTAGAAATTCACGAGGAGTTGGCTTCCCGGAAGTGTAACTGGACCAAACACTTCACGCTCAAAAGAGTTGAGAAGGCGCTGAGATTGCTCCGAGGCGTGTCCTGCTCATCATCGTCATCTTCTTCGGATTACTGACTAAGCGGCTACATGGAAATGCAGAAGGCGAAGATGACGTTAAGGGAGAGAAAGGCTGCCGAGAGGGAAGCGGCCGAGCAGAAAAGAGCTCTTGAGGCGGCCTTCAAACCTTCGACTGAGGGGTCTAGAAGGCCCGAGGCGTCCGATCTTCCCGAGGCGTCTGGCGGGCCCGAAGTGGTTGAGGGCCGCGAAGGATCCGGGGTTGATGTAGCGGTTGCTTCTGTTCCTCCCGAAGCGGTCGACGATGTCCCAGCTGGGGACAGTGGAGTTCAAGCTCCCGAGGCCGAACACACCGAGGTTGTGGTTGGCTTGGCTGCTGGTAGACAGGCCAAGTCTAAGGGAAAACGTCCTCGGGGCGACCACTCTACCGACAGGAGGAAGAGGTCGAAGAGCGATCACGGCAGCTCTCGACCGATTTACAAGGACAAGGTGGCTTCGGCCAACCTTGTTGCTTCGTGTGCATGGCCGTTGTTGACGGCCCCTGAGAATCTGGCCGAGGCGGAGAGATACGCCGAGACTTCGGCTAACTTTCTAAAGGTAATGATTTTTTGTTGAACCTCTTGTTTCGAAGTTCTTTTCCGTTCCTAACATGTTATTTTATCCCCAGGCTTTCTCCTCAATGAACACGCTGGTTCGTTCTTACGAATCCGTGAACCGTCAGCATGAAGC